CCTATTAGCCCCATTCCTATTTAACATCTATGTTAACTCCCTGGTCACATGCTGCCGTGAAATTGAAACCCACCCCCCTGTGTTCTCTAATGGCAGAAAAGTACCAATTTTAATGTATGCGGATGACGCCGTTCTTCTCTCTCAAACCAAAGTGGGTCTGAAACGTGCCTTAGGAAAGTTTAGTGACCAATGTAACACTGAACTGCTAACAATTAACTTTGCCAAAACCAAAATTGTACATTTTAACCGCTCCTTCAGGAAGGATAATTGGAGCGTAAAGGGAAACGCCATTGAACAGACTAAGACCTTCCAATATTTAGGCATTACTTTCTCTTATAATGCCAAATTCTCAGCACACTTGACCACATCAGCTATATCAGCAGAAAGAAGTGCAAATGCTATCCTTAGATTATTCAGAAGGAAAGGAGCTGGCTTCCTCCCGATGGCCCTAACAGTCTTTCAGGCAAAATCTTTAGCCCAACTTCTATATGGCTCTCAAATTAGCCCCTCTGCCAACCTTAAGACCCTTGAAACAGTACAATCTAAATTCTTAAGATCATTATTTGCTACCCCTAAGTGTACACCTAATGCAGTCTTAAGGCAAGAGGCAGGACTGCCCAGAGTGGAATTAAAAGTCTGGGAACAAGCAATATCCCTCTGGCTGAAAATCCATTACAATCCTAAGGGTCTATTACCTTGCTTCCTGGCCGCAGTTCCCTATCCTCCTTGGCTTATGCAAATAACTAACAAGATCAAACAAATTGGCCTAAACCCTGAAAATATTTTTATTGGAACTCTGAACAAGGCAAAAGCTACTATTACTCGGAGACTTTATGATATCGAATTACAACAAGAAGGCGCCCTACTCCCAGAGACGTATAGATGTTTAAAAGCTTGGCCTAATTTTACAGCTGCCCCTTACTTAACCAACATCACTAGCGAAGCCTATAGATGGGCTTTCTCTAGAGCCCGCTTTGAGACAATGCCCTCAGCAGTGCTGTACGGCAAATTCACGCGGGTTCCAATGCATGCGCGTCTCTGCCCTTGTATGTCTAATAAGGTAGAATCTGTCACACACATTCTTCTATCTTGCGAATTCTATAGTGAAGAACGAGCTCAACTTATTTTACCGCTTTTATCAAAATTTATACCCCTTCAATATTATTTGGAATCCTCCCTGAAATTCTTCGAAAATACCTCCTGGAAGATTCCTCAAGCTCAGTATCATATGAGGTGGCTAAATTTTGCACTTTAGTAATTAAGAAACGTAAATCTCTTCTGTCGAATGGCACACTGCGAAGTTCCCTTGTGTAACCTTTTTTCTTTTCTGAAGTTGTTGCTGATTTCTTGTTGTCTGATCTTGGGATGTTTAGTGTCACTGGCTTTGGCCGCAATAAACTTGAACTTGAATAATCTATCCCCTTGGCAAGGATTCTCTCAACCTGTGGTCTATGAGCTTTATTTAGGTGGTCTGCAGCAGACTAGAACACTTTATCAATTGATTTCTACAGAATTCTATGGCATGCAACTGTAATACATGAAAATGCAATATAAGGAATAAACGAAGCCATCAAAATATAACAAACAACTATCACAGCACAGTACAATTGCAGTCAGAGGCAGGAAAAAGATAATTAAATGGTCCACCAGAAACCTCAACAATTTTCAAGCGGTCTGTAATGAGTATGAGTTACTCGTGCGTAAACTGGTGCCTCTCTAGGCTAATTTGCCTTGTTAAACCTTTCTGACTGCACAGCCCTTTCTAATCGTGACTGCCTCAGTCACTGGCAGAATCCGTCAGTGGGCGTTTCTTGAACCTCTTCCAACATAAAAGTTGTTTGACACCCAGTCTCCTCCTCCTCTCACTGCGCGGGAGTCTTCTGCGCAGGGAGGGCGTGGGTAGCGGAGGACCTGTCCCCTCCTCACTGAGTTCCAGTGAAGAGTCCTGGAGCCCTCTCTCCGATTCCCCCATCTGCCCCCCTTTATCCCTGGTGTTGCGCTTAAATGCTTCCGCCTCTACTGAGCTGTTTCTCCCCCTGCTGCTGGGTCCTTCTCCAGCATCATCTAGGAGCCTCCCCTTCGCCTCTCGCTCCGATGTCAGTTCCCTGACATCCACCTCCCCCCCAGAATCCCCTCCACCCCTGGACCGACCTGTGGGATCAACTTCGTCCCCTTCGTTGGCCGACGAGGCGGGGAACCCCCGGAAGGAACTGTCACCATCTTCTGTGGATTCGAAACCCGCTTCCCACCCGCTCTTACACCTGCCAACGGGGTGGTCCTCCCAGTCTGATTCTTCTTCCTCTGAAACCTCTCCTCCCTCCTCCTCGGAGTCAGAAAATCCCTCAAAAACCTCTTCATCATCTGTGGTTCCAAATTGCTCCTCCCAGAATCTCTCCAGGGGTTTGGGTTTGTCCGGGAACCGGCGGTGGAATACCTCCACCAGATACCTGTCCTCGAAGGCTTCCGTGGGAACCCACGTGTTTTCGGACCTGGGTTCCCCCTCCCACGCTACCAAATACTCCACCCGGCGCCCTCGCCACCTTGAGTCCAGTATTTCCGTGGCCCTGTGATGGTGTTCCCTTTCTTCTACCTGCGGGTGTGTGGTGACTTCTCCCTCTTGCCCCTGGAATTCCCACCCCTCCCTATGCGGTGAGAGCAGGGACCTGTGGAAAACCGGGTGTATTTTCATGCTATCAGGCAACTTGAGCTTAAATGCCACGGGATTAACTTGCTGTGTTACCTCAAAAGGTCCTAGCCATCTGGGCTGCAACTTCTTGCACCCCCCTTTGAAAGGTAGCCCTTGGGTGGACAACCACACCCGGTCCCCCACCCGTATGGTCTCCCCTTCCCTACGGTGCTTGTCTGCCTGCCTCTTGTAAGTTTCCTTGGCCCGCTCCAAGTTCATCTTAAGTTGCTGGTGCAGGGCCTCCATTTCTTCCACAAACTGCTCTGCTGCCGGTACGCTCCAGTTTTCCTCCCCACTCCCCGGGAAGGCCCTGGGATGATACCCATGGTTGGCCATGAATGGGCTCATTCCCGTGCACACGTGTTCCGCGTTATTGTACGCGAATTCCGCCAGCGCTAGTTTTTCTACCCAATCGTTCTGCCTCTCGCTGACGTAGCAGCGTAGGTATTGCTGGAGTATACTGTTCGCTCTTTCTGCTTGCCCGTTGGTCTCTGGGTGTCTCGCCGTCGAGAAACCCACCTCCACCTGCAGCAAGCTCATGAGCTTCCTCCAGAACCGGGAAGTAAATTGTTTTCCGCGGTCGGAGATAACCCTCAAGGGGGCGCCATGCAGCCGGAATATGTGCTCCACAAACAACCGGGCTGTTTCCTCTGCTGTTACAGCATGTGAGCAAGCTATAAAATGGCACATTTTTGTCAGTAGGTCGACCACTACCATGACCGCTGTCTTTCCCCAGGACTTGGGCAAATCTGTCATAAAATCAATGGATACCACCTCCCAGGGTTTTCCCGGCGTGGGTAAGGGTTCCAGTAATCCTGCGGGGGCAGCCCGCTCCCCCTTTGCCCTTTGGCAGCGGTCGCACCCCCGTACATATTCCCGTACATCCTCCCTCACCCTGGGCCACCAGAACTGCCTGGTCACGAGCATCATGGTTTTGTGCTGTCCAAAGTGCCCTGCTGTGGGGTTGTCGTGGAGTTGTTTGAGTACCTTTCCCCTCAGGGTCTCCCCCGGTACGTACAGCGCTCCCCTATAGTACAGTACCCCTTCCTTCTCCTCAAACCCTTCTTGGGTCCCTCTTCCGTCTCGTAGTTACCGCATTTTAGTTTGCGCGAACACAAACTAAACTGCGCAGGGAGGGCGTGGGTAGCGGAGGACCCGTCCGTTCCAGTGAAGAGTCCTGGAGCCCTCTCTCCGATTTCCCCATCTGCCCCCCTTTATCCCTGGTGTTACGCTTAAATGCTTCCCCCTCTACTGAGCTGTTTCTCCCCCTGCTGCTGGGTCCTTCTCCAGCATCATCTAGGAGCCTCCCCTTCGCCTCTCGCTCCGATGTCAGTTCCCTGACACGGTCCATGGTTGGGAATTTTGAGGAACCACTGTGCTGGGGTTTATGCAGATTTTGAGAGGCTTTACATTTCTGGTACCAAAGCTGGGGAGGAGAAACTCTCTATGGTCTTTGTACGAATACCTCCCTCTCCCCCTGCATTTCATAGAAAATAAGTTTTAAGTTTGAGAGGTCCATTTGCCCTCCTAGGCAGGCAGTTTTGCAGATGAGCTCTGAGCTGCTCTAGGTAACCAGCGAATGGCAGGCCAGATCATCTGCCTGCCACATATTGGCCTATGGCGGCAGGAGGTCTTGGGCATTCCCTTGGGCAGGGGACCAACTGACCAATGGGGGAACTTGGCCCTGTGTCCAGGGACAGGATAAATTGCCTCTTCCTTTTGACCTTTGGTTCAAAATATACCAATTAATATAAAAATAAACCTCTAAGTGGGTTACATTAAAACAGCAACAAGGAAAAAGGAGAAACAACAATATACATTATAATGCTTTGTACAGACTTATCATTAGGCAAATGTTGGGTGTGTGATGATGCTTTCTTTCTCAACTGTTTTCATAGTTTCCAGAAGCTCCTGGCTGGTTGCCCAGGAAAGTATAAAGACAAGGAAAAGTTTCTTACAGTCCTTTTTCATTTCAAACACAGAGAGGCTCTAGAACCCAGCCTCTTGGATAATGGTGTTGTCCTCTGTTAATCTGCACCCCCCTTCTCTCCCACTTCCTCATTCACCATCATCATGACCTGCTGTACGGGGGCTGCTAAGTGCCCTCTGTCTTTGAGTTCTTTCTCTCCTACTTTTAAAGCTTGCTGGGTTCTGGGAAATGGAAGGTCTGGAATGTTTTCTAAGAACAGGTCAGCAAGGTGTTGCTCCGCCTCTCCCATCAGGTCAGGAGGTGGAGGCTGTCTCCACCACTCTTCTGCTCACTCCCTGACACAAAGGTCTTCTGCTGTGTCTATTTGAGATCTGGTCGCTACTGATGCACAGCAACAGGTAAGCAAAAATACTTTCTTCCATGTCTCTTTTTAATTTATTTTTCGGTGACATAGCTTTGGTCTTGCATTTTAATAGCTTGCATTCTTAAGTTGTTCATTTAACAGTGTTATACACTGCTGAAGTACAATCAATAATTTTTTTAGCAGACTTGCTAAAAATAATGGTCTGTTCCCAGCTAGAATTGGTGTCTGAAGGGTGCAGTAAGACTTTTAAAAAGTACTGGGGTTAGGAGGGAATGCTGTCTGGTGTCATGACTCACTTGGCACTGTTGGGTCTAGCTCTAGCATGGCAGATACTGGAGGAAGATGAGAAGGAATGGAAGTGGTAGGCTGGCCCCCAGTCGACTTCCGCTTTTACCACAGCTGCAACAGTGTGAGCTCTGACTGCAGTAAGCAGGTTGGAGCATACACCGGTACTGTGAGGGGCAACGTTAGGCTAAACGACCCCTGAAAAGGCTTGGAAGGAAGCCCAAGTCAAAGGAACTTCGGCAGTGTCCTTTTGGAGTCCCGGCACCCCTCGCTGAAGAAAAAACAGCTGAGGTGGGGGGGAATCCAGGCACAGAGAAGAACAGTAAGCAGATCGGTGAAAAGCCTCACATCACTGAAGCAGCGACAAGATAGTAAAATCTCTATTTCTATATTAAAATAAACATAAAGTGGTAGCAGCAGTAACAAAACCTAAAAGGAAATTACACAAGGGGGGGGAGGAACTCGGGGGGGGGGGATCCCTCATGGAGCGAGTAAACCCAAAACAACCCGAAACAAGATAAAGAGTAAAAATAGCAGAGGAGAAGTAATGCTACCACAAAAGTAAAGGGAAGACAGAAGAACAGAAAAAAATATGGAGAGAGTGTAAAGAAATCACTCAGATTGCAATTAAACTATTTGAAAAGCACACTATCTGAAACGGACTTACTACAAAGTGCAAAGCGGTGCAGGCTGCCTGTTGTTGGAGCTGGGTGGAGGAAAGCAGCTGCTTTGAAACTGAACGTCCTTGAAGGAAAGATAAGGACAAAGGAATAAGGAACGCTGTGGTCTCATGCAATTAAAAAACAGACTGGAACTGGAAGTCAACAGCAACAATTAAGAAGAAACTCAGGCCTTGAAGAAATGGATTTGAGGGAGCTTATTATTAGTTTGAAACTGGACGTGGGAGGATTGAGAAGAGAGCTGTAAGAAAAAAATCAATACAATTGATGGGAAATTAGAAAAATTAGAAAACACAATGAAAAAAAATGAAAAAGAAAATGAAGAAATAAAGGAAAAATTAACAGAAGTCTTAGAAGGAATGAAAGAGACAGATAAGAAAGTACAAGAAATTAAGAATAAGAATCAACAAATGGATGAGATGGTGAAGAAAATTAGCAAAGAACAAAGGGAACAAAGAAAAGAAATGGACAAATTGAAAAAGGAGATGGAGGAACAAAAAGCAATCCAGGAAGCTACTGGGGATGTGCTAGCAATGATACAGATGCAGATTAAAAAGAAGACCTTGAGATTCAGGAATGTGTCAGAAGAGGAGAAGGAGGATATTTGGAAGAAGATGACTGAAACTTTAGCAAAGTGGCTACATTTACAGGAAAAAGACATAATAGAACAGACAGAGAAAATCTTCAGAGTGAACTCAAGGAAAGCAAAAATGAACAAATGGCCGGCAGACTGCATCATTGTATTCACATTGAACTGGATGAAAGATAAGATCCTCCAAGTAAAGAGTAAGAACAAATAGATGGAAAGGAAATAATAATTTTACGAGAAGTCCCACCTAGGCTGTTAAAAAAGAGACAGCAATTCCAATTTCTAACAAAAGCACTAAAGGCCAAATCAATATCCTTCAGATGGGAATACCCAGTGGGATTTTCCTTCAAATTCAAAGGAAAAAGGAGACGATTTGAGACATTTGAGGAAGCAGATATGTTTTGGAGGAAGTATCGAGGAGAATTAGGAGGCGGGAAAAGCGAAGCAAGAAATGAGGAAGGAAGAAAGGGAGAGCTATTGGATGAGGCGGAAGAAGAAGAAAGAGCTCAGCAAAGGGTGGAAGGATAAAGAACTACGCCAGTGGTAAAGAATCAGACCAATAACTATCACAAAACCCTTCTCCTTTACCACTGCAGATAATTTAAACTCTTTCCACTAACTTTATAATTTTTCAACTAATATAGAATGAAATTTAAATTGTTATCTTGGAACGTAAATGATTTAAATAATAGGAGGAAGAGGCAGAAAATAGAACGTATCTTAGAGAGGCAGAAGTGGGACCTTGTTTGTTTACAAGAAACCCACATCAATACTAAGCATAAAAGACTATTGGTTAAACCAAAGTTAGGGGAAGAATTCATCGCATCTGATGTAAGAAAAAAGAGGGGAGTTGTAATGTATGTTAAAAGCAAATATGAACCAGAATTGTTATATGAAGATAAAGAGGGGAGGATTGTAATAGTCAAAATATCACTAGAGGGGGAACCAATTGTGGTAGCGGGAATCTATGGATCAAATAAAAGAAAATCAGAATTCTATGTTAAAGTAAGATCATTATTAATGGAATATATAGATATGAGAATTATTGTGTTAGGGGATTTAAATGGAGTAATGGAACCAGAATTGGATAGATCAAAGAAGAAGAGGGGGGGAAATGAAGGGAAGTTGCCAAAAAGCTTTATGGAAATGGTAAATATTTTTGATTTAGTGGATATATGGAGATATAAATATCCTGTCGAAAAGGAGTTCACATATTTCCCAGAACCAAAAAATTTGTATAGTCGAATCGACAGTATATGGATTACTAAGGATATGACAATTGAAGCAGAGAATGCCGAAATATTACCAAAAACACTTACAGATCACAATCCAGTATCATTAACTCTTAAAGGAAAAGAGGAGAAAGGGAAAAAAAGGTGGAGAATGAATGTTTTCTTATTAAAAAATGAAAAAGTAATACAAGGAACCAGAAAGTTGATGAAGGAATATTTTGAAAACAATTGGAGGAAAGGGACAGATGTTAAAACAGTGTGGGATGCTGGGAAGGCAGTTGTTAGGGGATATTTCATACAACAAAACTCAATAGCATATAAGAATAAAGAAAAAAAGAAAAGGGAACTTTTAGAAGAAATTAAAAGGAAGGAAAAATTGGCCTATGCAAGCAAAAGTAAGGAGAGATTAAATCAAGAAATTAAATTACTGAGAGTAGAATATAATAATATTATAGAACAGGAGGTAGAACAACAAATCAAATTTTGGAAATATAAAAATTTTGAATGGGCAAATAAACCAGGCAAGATCCTTGCCTGGCAATTAAAGAAACAAAGAAATGAAAAATTAATAAATAAAATAAAAGTAGAAGAGAGGACAATAAGGGATATGACAGAAATTAAAAAAGAATTTGAAAAATATAAAAAAAAATTATATCAAAAAGATGAAGTGCCAATAGAAGAAATAGAGGAATATATATATATATATATTTTTTATAATATTTATTGGTTTTACAAAAACAAATTCCAAAAGATGTAGAAAAATACAAAAATTCGACAAACAGAAAACAGCAATAACCATAACAAAAAACAAACATAGATAACAATATAACACAAAAAGAAAAAGAAAAAAAAAGAAAAGACAGAAAAATTTAAAAAATAATATACTTTCATTTAACCTTCTTATCATTACCTAATTCTTTGACTTCCCGCATCTCCCTGCTTGTATTTCCATTTAAAAACTCCTTTCAGCAAATCCTTACCCTCCTTTCTTTATCTTAACTCAAAGTTAATCTATTTATATATAAATATTACAGCTTTATCCATCAAATATTCCATGCTCTTAATCACAAGACTTTTGCCAATACCAGTTATTTTCAGTCAGACCTCAATTTAACATTCATTAATTTTATAGTATTTCTGTAGATAGTCTTTAAATTTCTTCCAATCTTCTTCCACCGACTCTTCTCCCTGGTCACGGATTCTGCCAGTCATCTCAGCCAGTTCCATATATTCGATTACCTTCATCTGCCATTCTTCCAGAGTGGGTAAATCTTGTGTCTTCCAATACTTTGCGATGAGAATTCTTGCTGCTGTTGTTGCGTACATAAAGAAAGTTCTATCCTTTTTAACACCGATTGGCCGACTATGCCCAGGAGAAAGGCCTCTGGTTTCTTAGGGAAGGTATATTTGAATACCTTTTTAATTCATTATATATCATTTCCCAGAAAGCCTTAATCTTTGGGCACGTCCACCAAAGGTGAAAGAATGTACCTTCAGTTTCTTTACATTTCCAACATTTATTATCGGGCAAGTGATAGATTTTTGCAAGCTTGACTGGGGTCATGTACCACCTGTACACCATTTTCATTATATTCTCTTTTAAAGCATTACATGCTGTAAACTTCGTACCTGTGGTCCATAACCGTTCCCAGTCAGCAAACATAATGTTGTGTCCAACATCCTGTGCCCATTTAATCATAGCAGATTTTACCGTTTCATCCTGAGTATTCCATTTTAGCAGCAAGTTATACATTCTTGAAAGTGTTTTAGTTTTGGGATCTAGCAGTTCTGTTTCCAACTTTGATTTTTCCACCTGGAAGCCAATTTTTCTATCCAAATTATAAACCTCTCTTATTTGATAGTAATGCAACCAGTCTCGCACTCTATCTTTTAATTTTTCAAAACTCTGCAATTTGAATTTATCTCCTTCTTGTTCCAAGATCTCCCAATATTTTGGCCACTTGGCCTCCATATTGGACTTTTTAGGGCCTTTGCCTCCATTGGTGATAGCCACCTTGGGGTTTTATTTTCCAATAAGTCTTTATATCTTATCCAGACATTGAACAATGCTTTCCTGACAATATGGTTTTTAAATATTTTGTGAGCTTTAACCTTGTCATACCACAAATATGCATGCCACCCAAACACATTATTGAAACCTTCTAAGTCCAAAACATCAGTATTTTCCAGAAGTAACCAATCCTTCAACCAGCAGAAAGCTGCTGATTCATAATAAAGTTTAAAGTCTGGCAGGGCAAATCCCCTCTTTCTTTAGCATCAGTCAATATTTTAAATTTTATCCTGGGCCTCTTGCCCTGCCAGACAAACTTAGAAATATCTCTCTGCCACTTCTTAAAACAGTCCATTTTATCTATTATTTGTATCGATTGAAACAAAAACAGCATTCTTGGCAATACATTCATCTTGATGACAGCAATTCGACCTAACAAGGAAAGCTTCAAATTTGTCCATATTTCTAAATCCTTTTTAATGTCCGACCAACACTTTTCGTAATTGTCTTTAAATAAATTCCCATTTTTAGCTGTCATGTGAATCCCCAAATATTTCACTTTTTTTACCACTGTTAAACCTGTCTCATTCTGAAACCTCTCTTTTTCAATCAGTGTTAAATTCTTCTCAAGTACTTTAGTTTTAAACTTATTCAGCTTAAAACCTGCCACCTGACCAAACTCTTGAATCAGTTCTAATGCTCTTTTCGTACTAGATTCTGGCTCCTGTAATGTCAATACAAGGTCATCTGCAAATGCTTTCAGTTTATATTGTTTCGCTCCGACCGTTATACCCTTAATCAAATGGTCCCTTCTTATCATATTTAACAAAACCTCCAGAACAGAAATAAAAAGTAATGGGGAAATTGGGCAGCCTTGTCGTGTCCCTTTCTCTATCTTAATTTCCTCTGTTATGACAGTGTTAACTATTAATTTAGCTTTTGCTCTGAATAAATTGCATTTATACCATTTTCAAACTCTTGGCCTACCCCCATCCCCTGAAGATTTTTCTTCATAAAACTCCAAGAAATATTGTCAAAGGCTTTCTCTGCATCCACAAAAATCAAAACTGCTTTAGTATTGATCTCCTCTTGCAGCTTCTCCAGAATATCAATTATGTTCCTTGTGTTGTCCGAAAGATGTCTATCTGGAAGAAAGCCAGCTTGGTCCTTGTGAATCACTCCATTTAGCACTTTTTAAGCCTTTTTGCTAAGATATCAGCAAAAATTTTGTAATCCACATTTAACAGGGATATGGGCCGGTAGTTCTTAAGCTGTGTCTTTTCAGTCTCAACCTTTGGTATACGTGTAATAAATGCGTCTTTCCACGACTCTGGCGCTCTTTTCCCCTCTAGAATTTCATTACAAACCTCAGTTAATGGTCGAATTAACCAGTCTTTCAAAGTTCTGTAATATTTTGAGGTTAAACCGTCCGGTCCTGGAGATTTTCCCAGCTGCATATTCTGGATGGCACCTTCAACCTCCTGTTCTGTAATTTTATAATTCAACAATATCTTGTTATCCTGAGAAATTTTTTGTAATCCATTAGTTTTCAAAAATTGCTCTATCTCAAATTCTTTCTGAGGCCCTTGTGTATATAATTGTTTAAAATATCTCTGGAAACATTTCCTAGTTGCTTCTGGATTCTGGATATTTTTCCTTCCACTTCCAAATTAGTAATAGTATTAAGTTTTTGTCGTTTCTTCAACTGCCAAGCCAGCAATTTCCCACATTTATTTGCCGATTCAAAAGTCTTTTGTCTCATTTGTTTAATTTTCCATTCCACTTCTTGATTTATTAATTTCATATATTGCACTTGGTGCAATTTTATTTCCCTCAGAATCTCTTGTGAATTAGGCTTCACTCTCAATTTCTTCTCGCCCTCCTTTATTTTTTCCAGAATTTTTTCTTTCTTTACGTTTTGGGCCTTCTTCTTAATTGAATTCTGTTGAATCAGGAAGCCCCTCATAACAGCTTTGCTTGCGTCCCAAATTACTCTTTTTTCTACAGCTGTATTCAAGTTTATCTCAAAATAGAGGAATATATAAAGAAAAATAAATTAATAGAGATAGCAGAAGAAGACCATAAATTATTAAATGAACCAATATCAACCGTAGAAATTAAGCAATCAATTAAAAAATTAAAAATAGGGAAATCCCCAGGTCCAGACGGCATACCAGCAGAATACTACAAAGAAATGTTAAATGAATTAATCAACCTACTAAAAGAAGTAATAGAGGAAGTGGTAGAGAAGGGGAATATTCCAGACTCTTGGACTCAAGCGTATATAACGCTCCTGCCAAAATAAGGTACGGACTTGGAATCTGTCTCAAATTATAGACCCATTTCATTGTTAAATTCGGATTATAAAATTTATGCAGGATTATTGGCTAACAGGGTGAAAAAAATTATAGGAAAAATAGTACATAAAAATCAGGCTGGATTTGTGGAAGGCAGACAAATAAAGGATAATATTAGAAATACAATAGACATAATGGAATATCTACAAGTAAGAAGAGATAAACAAGCAGCCCTGATTTCAATCGATGCGGAGAAGGCTTTCGATAAAATCTCATGGGAATTTATGAAAAAACTATTAAAAGAATTGTGTCTAGGTGAAAAATTCCAAAAAGGTATAAATGCAATATATAACCAACAGAAAGCAAAAATTATTATTAATGGAGAGTTTGGAGAAGAAATCAATATCTTTAAAGGTACAAGACAAGGATGCCCCCTATCCCCAATGTTATTTATAATAGTATTAGAGGTTCTATTAAAGAAAATAAGGCAGGACAACCAAATAAGAGGAATAGTAGTTGGTGAAAAAAGATACAAGTTAAGACGATGTTATGATCACAACAGAAAATCCCCTACAATGTACACCTAGAATATTGGAATGCATAAAAGAATATGGCAGATTAGCAGGATTCAAATTAAACTATGGGAAAACTAAAATATTAGTGAAAAATATGGACGAAAAAGATAAAGTGAAATTACAAGAAATTACAGGATTGGAAATTAAACAGAAAATAAGGTATCTTCGAATAAATTTAACAACAAACACTATAGATTTAAGTAATGAGAACTATGGGAAAACATGGAATGAAATAAAAAATGATTTGCAAGTATGGGGGAAATTAAATCTTTCTTTACTAGGGAAAATATCGGTAATAAAGATGAACATATTACCAAGGATGATGTTTTTATTTCAAAGTATCCCAATACTAGGAGGAGATAAATGTTTTAATAATTGGAAAAGAGATTTAGCCAAATTCGTATGGTCAGGGAAAAAGCCAAGAATAAAACACAAAATAATGATAGATAAGGAGGAGAGAGGAGGATTTGGTCTCCCTGACATGGAGTTATATCATGATGCGGTGGGTCTGACCTGGCTAAAAGAATGGATCAAATTAGATGACTCGGATGTATTGGATTTAGAGGGAGTAGAGACGAGATTTGGATGGCATGCCTATCTAATAGATGAAAAAGTCAAAGTACATAAAGGCTTCCTAGGACATATAGTTAGAAAGTCTATATATAAAATATGGGAGAAATATAAAAGACTCCTAGAACCGAAACTCCCTGGTGGGCATCGCCGGCAGAAATTGTTGCAGTGAAAAAATTAAATATGAAAGAAAATTGGGCTACCTATAAAATTTTATTAAAGGAAGAAAACGGAGAATTGGAATTAAAGGATTATACAGAAATTAAAGCTCATATTAGTGATTGGTTCCAATATATTCAAATTAAGTATAGATTAGCGAAAGACAAAAAGTTAGGATTTGAAAAAGAAATATCAAAATTTGATAAACACTTAATACAAGAAAAATCAAAAAATATATCTAAATTGTACAATCTGATTTTAGAGTGGGAAACAAAGGATGAATTGGTTAAAGCGTCAATGATTAAATGGGCACAAGATATTGGGAAAAATATTATGTTTGAACAATGGGAAAAATTGTGGAAAGAAGATATGAAATTCACTATGTGTTATATATTGAAAGAAAATTGCCTCAAAATGCAACATAGATGGTATTTAACACCTGAAAGAATAGCAAAAATGAATAAAAATTGTAGTGATGTCTGCTGGCGATGCAACACTGGAAAAGGGACTATGATACATATTTGGTGGAACTGTTTAAATATCAAACAATTTTGGGAAATAATTTATAACGAAATGAAAAAAATGTTCAGATATTCATTTAGGAAAACACCAGAAGGTTTTCTATTGGGAATAGTACCAGGAAGCCTAAAGGAAGAAGACAAGACCTTATATTTATACGCAACAGTAGCCGCAAGGCTATTGATTGCGAAAAACTGGAAAAGTGGTATTGTACCGACAAAAATAGAGTGGCTTGCCAAATTAGTGGAGTACTACAATATATCCAAAACAATGGGAGAAATTGGAAGGATCTCAAAAGAGAAGATAGATAGGGACTGGAAGGTGTTTTAGAGATACTTGCAAAAACATATCGAAAAATCAGAACACCTATTAGAATAAACAAGTTCCGTTTCAAACACTGAAATACTGAATAAGATGGATAACAATGTGTAATAGAAAAAGAAGTGTGAAATTAGGCTAAAGGTGTGTGAAAGAAAGTAATAGAAGTGGAAAGAAATTGCAATTGAGTAGATTGGAAGTCTAACACAAAGGTGGGGTGAGGGGTGGTGGATGGTGATGGGAAAAGGAATTATTTGTGGGATTGAGTGTAAGGATCTTTGAACACTTTTAAGGATTGTATGTAAAAAAAAAGAAAAGAAAAAAAGGAAGTGGTAGGCTGGCCCCACCTCAACCCCACCTGGCTCTGTGTGGAGATAGGACTTCCAGCTCCGTTCCTTCCAGAGGGGGAGAGAGTATTGTTAGAACTTGGGGCGGCAAAGCAGGCTGGGTAGGGAGGAGGTGGGTACAGCACTCTCTCCTAGAACACCAGGAGAAGGGACAATATATGCCTGCTTAGACACAGCATATGCCTGCAGGTTCATCCAGGAAGAGAGACTCTCATGAGTAAGGGCTGCACTCATGATGGCTTTTAGCTGGATGAGTGGACATGGAGAAGTGGTTGAAACAACTACTCAGCAGTCTTGAGGTTAGTGTAATGGAAACTGAACCCAGGCGCCTTGGCCACTCTTCATAGATCAGACCCATCCCAGTCAACCCTTTGTCCTGTCGGAACTCTGAGACTGAAATAGCTCTTTTCCTTGTGCCGAGTCTGTACCATTTCCTTACAAGAAAGAGAATCACAGGACATGTTTTGGGGTGGGAGCCAGGGCATTGAAGCCAGTGGCTTCAAGGATCAAAATCCCCCGGGAAGCAATTGGAGCATATTGAGCAACAACAACCAGTGTTGTTCTAGGGTAATGCCACAGGTTCTCCTCCCTGCTGCTAGTATAAGAAGAACACTGCTGGATCAGGCCAAAGGTTCATCTAGCCCTTTTATCTCACCTTTCAACACCCATCATGTTTCCTCAAGATCATTCTTCAATATATTGAGTTTACCCCCTGAAATCTTTTTCATTAAGGACTCATGTTTTCAGACTAGAGATCCTGTAGTTCTGTTTTAAACTCAGGTCCAAGATGTGGCTGTTTTGGGGAGTGGCCTGCTTTGTCCAACAGGCTCTGACATCTGAAGAATTCAGCAGCAGAAGACATCTGAATCCTCAACAATTTATGACTATTGTAAGTTAATAATTCAGATGGCCTTGAAAACAGTGGACCAGGATCCTTATAATTTCATTTTTAAAACAGTTTTCAAGAGCACATGCATTTCCAGGAAGAAACTCCATGCTTGGCAGGAGTTATTTCAAACTGCAAATTAATCTGATCGTATTTGAAACAATACTCTCTTGGCTGATTAACTGATCTAGAAGACACAGTTAGCTTTGATAACTCCTTCTCGGAGCAGAGTTTTAGGAGCCTGGCTCCTCAGTGTAAATGTTGACATTTGCCACACAGGCATTAGCTGAAGCCTTAGACAGCAGATTCATTATATTTCTCATGGTGAGAGATTTCTTTGTAGTTGCTTACAATACAGATTTGGTGTCTTGCATCAGATCAGTATAGATTTCCTTTTTGTCTTTTTGTTGTGGAATGGAGAAAACCACAATCTCTCTGTGGTTATGTACACTTCACACAAATATACCCAGATGGGGGAAAGGGGGAATAAATTTGATTCAGTTCGCATTTCAAGCTGAATCTACATGATTTGCATTTTCTGGAACAATACACAAAGCCGTCCTTCAAAATTGGCACGTCTCCAATTTTTGTGTGCTGTTCTCCAGCCAAGTAATGGAAAAAGAAATGCATATAGCATAGTAAAGTGTTTTTAAAAATACATATACAAGTGAAAATAGCATACAAAAAAATCATTTTATTAGGCAAAAAAAGGTGTGTTTTGGGCTAACTTGCATACAATCATGTGTACATCATGAAAGTTTAGGGGAGGGATAGGAAACCTAAGGCCCTCCAGATGTTGTTGGACTACAACTCCCATAATCCTTGACCCTTGGCCATGCTGTCTGGGACTGATAGGAACTGGAGCCCAGCTATAGCCACAGATTTCCCATTCCTGGTGTAGGACTAGGAAAGTTACTTCACAATAATCTTGGCCCTCAGAGGTTTTTGTTCTTTGAGATATTCAAGCAGTTGTCCCAGAAATCGAATGATCAGATTTATTTATTTTTTAATCTAGCATTTCTATTTCCATCCTTCTCCACTCACAGCCCGAAGTTATCCAGTATTGGGGATACCCCAGTGAAGAGTATACAATCCTGACAAGGGATGGCTATTACCTGCAGGCAAACAGAATTCCACATGGAAGACATAGTTCTGGGAAGATAGGTAATTTTGAAATTTAGCAGTAAATGCATTAAAATGCCACATGCCACGCCTGATATCCCTATGTTCAATGTTACCCAGACTTCACTGTTTTTTCTTTCACTCAACTTTATTTGGAAGCAATATTATAAATAAAGGGAGAAATTGTTGCAAGTTGGCTGAAATCACTTGAGTTGTGCTCAGTTGTAAACACACTTAATGATTCCTTCTTCATTATATCTGAGCAACAAGGTTTCCCAGATTAAACAATAATTCCAAATTATCAACAGTTAGAATAATTATGCAGTCTTCTATTCATAGCAGAACACTATGAAATATCTTCAGTGGCGTGGGGTTTGGTTGAGTGGCTTTCTTATGCCTTTTCAAAAATCAGTGCAAATATTAACTATCTCCTGATTCTTAGGAGAGTTGTTTAGAAACAGCCACAGCAGTTGTGGTCTCTCTTCAGCGGTAGGCAGCAATCACCTCAGAGACACAGCATTTCACCCACAGGAGAGGCAAGACCTGCCCACCTTCTCACCTCACCTACTTCTGCTACCTTTTGCCAATACTTCAGCACTGCCTCTCTGGATTGCTTGGGAAAAGTAGGCGGGGACATGTTGGCAGAAGAGAAAGTGGGTGGGAAAAGAAGGGTCATGGCGTTTTATGTAGGCTTACACAAAACATCGTTGCTAGTCTTCACACAATCAATGAAAACATTTTCTGAGGTTCTAGGAAACGTCTGGCTCACCTCCTTTGTACCCCCTGCACCCTACTCTGCTTGGCCTTGAGCTAGATACCAGTAGGAAATGTTGGTGCTCTGTGAGTGCCCATTCTCTATCTAATGTTGTCTTTGTTTTCCAGGGCCTAAGTCAGTTGTGTTATTGGTACCTGGTAACTTTTGTGAAGGCAGGAGCTGGATTTCAAATCTTCCCAGCAATAGTCTGGGATTTGTTCTAGCAGATGCTGATTATGATGTCTGGATATTAAATAACAGGGGGACCACCTGGTCTAGAAGACATCAGCACTTCTCAGTAGACCAAGAAGAATTTTGGAATTTCAGGTAAGTACAAGGGGCTATTGTTGCTTGGATGGAAGGGATGCTTTTCCTGAGAACTTTCCCAGGACTCAGCTAGATTAGTAAAGAAAAAGTGTTTTAGATGCATTGTATAGGCAATATAACACTGTGAAACCAGATGGCACTGTGGAGTTCTGTCTTTCCCAACTGGATTTCCCTATATGATTTTACAATGTGTCTAACTGAAATGCTTCATAGATGTGTTTATTTTTATCATCATCATCATCAATCTTTATTACGGTCAAGAGACCCAACAAATCATTACACAGCAATACACAATTCAGACAGCCTGTTGTTGTTGTTGTTTAGTTGTTTAGTCGTTTCTGAATCTTCGTGACCCCATTGACCAGAGCATGCCAGGCACTCCTGTCTACCTCCAGGTTAAACAGGAGCGTCTCCACCCCCATCGTTCTACCCAGACACTGAGGTCCAGCGTACAGGGCCTTCTGGCCGTTCCCTCACTGCAAGAAGCCAAGTTACAGGGAACCAGGCAGAAGGCCTTCTCGGTAGTGGCGCCCGCCCTGTGGAATGCCCTCCCACCAGATGTCAAAGAGAACAACAACCACCAAACTTTTAGACGACATCTGAAGGCAGCCCTGTTTAGGGAAGCTTTTAATGTTTGATGTAGTCCTGTATTCTAATATTTGGCTGGAAGCCACCCAGAGTGGCTGGGGAAGCCCAGCCAGATGGGCGGGGTATAAATCGTAAATAATAAATAATTATAAATAATAAATAACAAATTATTATTATTATTATTTTGTTCAGACTTAAGGATAGGGATCATTGGTTCTTGCAACCACCGATAAAAACTTCGCCACTGCTAATGTTCTAGCGTTTGTCCGGTCTTCCAGTAGGAACCTGACATAGTGAGCCTCTGATTTTCCCGGGAAAGGTAATTTCCCAGGCAAGGGTAATTTCAGTTCAGCCACCCAGATCAGAATTTTAATTTAATTTTGGGGAATTTTAATCATGGCACCACACTCCACATAATATCAGAGGGTAGTGACCACCCCCCCAAAGCATTTCTTACTCTTGCCCCTGCACTGTGGAATGCCCTTCCGTCTTCCATATGTAAAGCATCATCAGTGTGATTCCGAACATCGTTCCTGATGTAGATCTTCATTCTCCACTTGGTTGTAATGAAGACATTTATTGCCACCTTGTCCCTGGTGTAGATCTTCACTCACTGCTTCCTCCCTGGAGGGAAGTGGTCCAATTTTGTGGTTCACCTCCAGTGCCAGAATATCTTAGGCCAGTCCTAATACAACTAGCATATAAGACCATGAACAATTTGGCATTTAGATTACCTGATAAATGGCCCACTCTTCTACAAATCTGTTAGTTCCTCCAGACATATTGTGAAGATACACCATTTTGCCCAGATGTTCCAGGATGTACACCTTTTAGACTGCGTAAGGGGACTTCTGAATTACCATTTAAATTTAACACAGTTGAGCAGTTTCATATAATTTCATATAATTCTTTAAAATTATCCTTTAACATGTGGACAACGTACATATTTGAGAACCTATTGGGCTAGTTTAAGGGTGATATAAATATTTAAATAAATCATAAATATATATTTACTCTTTCTCTCCTTACTCTTTCCATAGGACAATAAGCTTACAACGTTATCCTCCAAAAGTAAGGGTATCATATGTAATGTATGGTACCTTTTGTATTTAGACATTAATGTCCACAACTGTATGCAATTGCAGACAGGCAAAATTTCAGCTATATTCTGTGTTTTTCTTTCAGCTTTCATGAAATGGCAATTTATGATATTCCAGCAGCCATAGACTTTATTCTGCAGAAAACTAAGCAAAAAAGGCTGTATTATATTGGCCATTCCCAGGGAGGTACATTGGGTAAGTTAATAAGAAAAGAATGAAATACCTTTTATTTTCTTGCCTTTTTGCATTATCAGGGACTTGCTGGGGGTGTGGTCCAGTCTCAGGACTATTGGGAAGACTAGTTCAGAAAAGAAAAAGACAGATTAAAGCATAGCTTTTAAAAAAGAAAAGAAAAAGCAGAGTTCACATACGTTCCATGAGAAAGTCTTTTCAGGATCAGGACTTCAGTATACAGGATCAGGTACCGTATACAGCTCTTATCAGTTCCACAGCCATGAAGAATGTCCATCTGTGGTGCAAATAAATTCATTGAATGACAGGCATTTCAAAAGAAGAGGGATGGGAAACTTTTGACCTTGCAGAAATCTTGTTTTTTTTTTAAAAAAAATAATATTTATTAATTTTCCAACAGTTTAAACACTACAAAAAACAAAACAACAACAACAACAACAATACAATACAATAAAAAACACTACAAAACACTAACACATAAAACTAACAAAACAAAACAAAAACCATTTAAAACACATCAAACAATTTCAATATCATATCTTTCATTCACTTATTTCCATGACCTCCTCACACCTCCCTTTTTGTATTCCACTTCTGTTAATTGTTTCAGCAATTCCTTTCCATCTTCCTCTGTTTTCTATCCTATAATTATCTTAACACATTTTAACCTTATTTTTCCCCTTTAATACTCTATTAATCTATTTATACTTAATTCCTTATAACTTTTCTACTAAAGCCATAGAACTTCATTCCAACATTTTTCTAATATTCATTAATTTTACAGTATTTCTGTAAATAGTCTTTAAACTTTTTCCAGTCTTCTTCCACCGACTCTTCTCCCTGGTCTCGGATTCTGCCAGTCATTTCCGCCATTTCCATATAGTCCATCAACTTCATCTGCCATTCTTCCCGGGTGGGTAAATCTTGTGTCTTCCAGTACTTTGCCACGAGTATTCTTGCTGCTGTTGTTGCATACATTAAAAAAGTTCTATCTTTCTTTGGCACCATTTGGCCGACCATGCTCAGGAGAAAGGCCTCTGGTTTCTTCAGAAAAGTGTATTTAAATATCTTTTTCATTTCATTATAAATCATCTCCCAGAATGTCTTAATCCTTGGGCATGTCCACCAAAGGTGAAAGAATATACCTTCAGTCTCATTACATTTCCAACATTTATTGTCGGGCAAATGGTAAATTTTTGCAAGCTTGACTGGTGTCATGTACCACCTATAAATCATTTTCATTAAATTTTCTCTTAGGGCATTACATGCCGTGAATTTCATACCTGTGGTCCATAACTGTTCCCAGTCAGCCATCATTATGTTATGTCCAACATCTTGTGCCCATTTAATCATAGCTGATTTCACCATTTCATCCTGAGTGTTCCATTTCAACAGCAAGTTATACATTCTTGACAAATTCTTAATTTTTGGATCCAACAATTCTGTTTCCAATTTTGATTTTTCCACCTGGAAACCAACTTTTTTGTCCAAATTGTATATGTAATGGTTCTAGGGGTTGCTTGTGTGTAAATCAACACCACCCTTGGCTGGTTGCCTGAGTGAACCCTTTCTGTCTGGACAGCCACGCGCCCGTGACTGTCTCAATCACTGGCAGAATCCGTTAGTGGGCGTTTTTTGAACTTCTTCCAGCAAAGAAGCTCTTTGACGCTTATTCTCCGCCTAGCCTCCCTGCGCCAGAAGCCTTCTGCGCAGGGAGGGTGTGGGCATCGGAGGACCCGAGCTCTCCTCACTGGTTCCCGGCGAAGAGTCTTGGAGCCACCTCACCGATTCCCCCATCTGCCCCCCTTCTCCACTGGTGTTACGCTGATTTCCTTCCCCAGATGATGTGCTGCTTCTCTCCCTCCTGGGACACTCTCCGGAACCCCTATGGAGCCCTCCCTCTCCCTCTGGCTCCGATGGCAGTTCCCTGACAGTATACCTCCATTATTTGGTAATAATGGAGCCAATCTCGCACTTTGTTTTTCAGTTTTTCAAAGCTCTGCAATTTTATTCTGTCTCCATCTTGTTCCAAAATTTCCCAATATTTCGGCCATTTGACCTCCATATTGAGTTTTTTCTGTGCCTTCGCTTCCATTGGTGACAACCATCTTGGAGTTTTCTTTTCTAACAAATCCTTATATCTTATCCAAACATTAAACAATGCTTTTCTAACAATATGGTTTTTAAATGCTTTATGTGCTTTTACCTTATCGTACCACAAATATGCATGCCAGCCAAATACATTGTTGAAACCTTCTAAATCCAACACATCAGTGTTTTCAAAAAGCAGCCATTCTCTCAGCCAGCAAAAAGCAGCTGATTCATAATAAAGTTTAAGGTCTGGCAGGGCAAATCCACCTCTTTCTTTGGCATCAGTTAATATCTTAAATTTTATTCTAGGCTTCTTGCCCTGCCAAACAAATCTGGAGATATCTTTCTGCCACTTCTTGAAACAATCCATCTTATCCAGAATTTGCAATGTTTGAAACAAAAACAACATCCTTGGCAACACATTCATTTTTATCACACCAATTCGGCCTAACAATGATAACTTCAAATTTGTCCATATTTCTAAGTCCTTTTTCACTTCAGTCCAACATTTTTCATAATTATCCTTAAATAAATTCACATTTTTGGCAGTCATGTTAACCCCTAAGTATTTCACTTTCTTAACCAATGTTAGTCCTGTCTCCTCCTGAAATTTCTCTCTCTCATTCACAGTTAAGTTTTTCTCTAAAACCTTAGTTTTCATCTTGTTCAACTTAAAACCTGCTACCTGTCCGAATTCTTGAATTAGTTCCAATACCCTTTTAGTACTAGATTCTGGCTCCTGTAGAGTCAATACTAAGTCATCAGCAAATGCTTTCAGTCTGTACTGTTTAGCTCCCACTTGTATACCTTTAACCTCTTGGTCCTTTCTAATCATATTTAACAAAACCTCGAGGACCGATATAAAAAGCAATAGAGAAATTGGGCAACCTTGTCGGGTCCCTTTCTCAATCTTAAACTCTTCTGTCACTACATTGTTCACAATTAATTTCGCCTTTTGTTCAGAATAAATTGCACCTATACCATTTTCAAAGCTTTGACCTACCCCCATCCCCTGTAGATTCTTCTTCATAAAACTCCAAGAAATGTCAAAGGCTTTCTCTGCATCCACAAATATCAGAACTGCCTTAGTGTTGATATTCACTTGTAGTTTTTCTAAAATATTAATTATATTCCTCGTGTTGTCAGACAAATGTCTGCCCCGAAGAAAGCCCGCTTGGTCTTTATGAATTTCTTCTGCTAGCACCTTTTTTAATCTTTTAGCCAAAATATCTGCAAAAATTTTGTAATCCACATTAAGCAACGATATGGGGCGGTAGTTCTTGAGCTGTGTCTTTTCAGTCTCTGTTTTCGGTATAAGTGTAATGTAAGCTTCCTTCCACGACTCTGGTGCCTTTCTCCCTTCCAATATTTCATTACAAATTTCCTTCAATGGTTGTATTAACCATTCTTTCAAAACTCTGTAGTATTTTGAGGTCAAGCCATCTGGTCCTGGAGATTTACCTAATTGCATGCTCTGAATGGCCCCTTCCACCTCCTGATCCATTATTTTGTAGTTCAACATTAGCTGTTTTTCCTGAGAGATTTTATGTAATCCATTTATTTTCAGAAATCGATCAATGTCCATTCCTTTCTGCTTCTCCTGTGTATAAAGTTGTTTAAAATACCTCTGAAAACACTTCCTGATCTCCACTGGGTTCTGTATATTCTTTCCTTCCACTTCCAAATTCGTAATAGTATTGAGTTTTTGTCTTTTTTTCATTTGCCAGGCCAACAATTTTCCACATTTATTTGCCGATTCAAATGTCTTTTGCCTCATCTGTTTAATCTTCCATTCTATTTCCATTCTATTTCCTGATTCATCAGCTTCGTATATTGTACTTGATATAAGTTTATCTCTTTCAGGATCTCCTGTGACTTTGGTTTTGCTCTCAGTTTCTTCTCTCCTTCCTTTATTTTCTCCAGGATTTTATCCTTTTTTTCATTCTGAGATCTCTTCTTAATTGCATTCTGTTGTATTAGAAATCCTCTCATGAGCGCTTTGCTTGCGTCCCAAATTACTCTTTTTTCCACTGTAGTTTTCATATTTATCTCAAAATAATCTCTTAGAGTTTTTTGGGCCTTCTTGGTCACCTCTTCGTTCCTGAACAGAGTATCAGGAATCCTCCATCTAAAGGATGGTTCATCCTCCATCTAAAGGAACCCATTGGCGTCAATTTCATTTCCATCTTCACAGCATTATGGTCAGAACAAGTTTTGGGGCAAATCTCCACATTGCTTATCTTCGGAGCCAGTCCCCTAGTTACCCAGATTTGGTCAATTCTTGTCCATGTCATTTTAGCCTCAGAGAAAAAAGTTCCCTCTCTACCCAGAGGATTCTTCATTCTCCAAATGTCAACTAAATCCATATTGTCCGTCATGTCAAAAAAGGTTTTTGGTAGTCTACCATCTTTGCTGACTACCTGTCTCTGTGCCTTGTCCATATTTGTAGACACCACTCCATTCATATCTCCCATCAAGATCATATTATAGTCCATATAATCCATCAGAGTCTCGTGTAGTTTCTTAAAGAGCTCCGATTTTCCTTCATTTGGTGCATAAATACCTACAATCAGGAATTTTTCTCCTTGTGATTGAATTTCAATTGCAATAAATCTTCCTTGGTCATCTTTGAATATAAATTTCGGTGATAGGCTCTCCTTTGCATAAAGGACCACTCCCCTTTTTTTGACTTTGTCTGATGAGATAAATTCTTGGCCCAGTCTTTTATTACTCAATATCTTCCTATGTAGCCTTATCACATGTGTTTCTTGTAAACAAATCAAGTCCAAATGTTCTTTTTTCAATAAATGAAAGACTCTTCGCCTTTTTTCTGGGGAGTTCAGTCCATTCACATTCCAACTCAAAACCTGCAACCCCATCATGTAATTACGCTGATGTTCCTCCAACTGCACCTAATGCTTGCTCTTCTTCTGATGGTGGTGGTGATGACACGTTCACTGGGAGGTCCAAGGATAATGCTGATATGTCCAATATTTCCTTATTTGGTGATCTCCTATCCAATGCTCTTTGCTCTAGTCCTCTATCTGGTGATCTTCTGTTCGATGCTCTTGGCTCTTCTCCAAGTCCCTTCTGAAGATCTTCTTTGTATTTATACAAAAACTTTACTTTATCTTCTACTGATCTTATTTTTATTTTCCTTCCTTTGAAACTGAAAGATAGGCCTTGGGGAAACTCCCACCTAAAGATGATTTTATTCCTTCTCAGCAGAGCAACAATATCTCTGAAGTTAGGCCTAAGATCCAAAAGATATTTCGGGACGTCTTTAAAAATTTCCACTCTTGACTGTTGTATTTCTAGATTCTTCTGGTAATGCCAACCCAAAATTCTATGTCTCTCTTCTTTGGTATGAAGAGTGATCAAACAGTCCCTTATTCTATTCTTCTCTTTTTTTACTCCTCTTCCAAGCCTGAAGGCCCTCACAATTCTAAACTCTTCTTGCTCCAAGTCCAAGTCCCAAAAGTCAGCAAATTCCTGTGTGAGAAAGTCTGTCAAACTTTCCTTCTCCAATTCAGGTAGGGCTCTGATCCTCAAATTCGTCTGTTTTTCTTAAAGTTCAATCATAGCAAGCGTCAACTTATGTTCATCAAGTTACCTCTGTAGGGCTGGGACTCTCTCTCCAGTTGTGTTACTTTACATTCCGCAGCAACTGCTTTCTCCCTGGCTTCCTCCGCAGTCTGCCGTATCAAAATAGATTCCTGTATCAATTTCTGGATGGTCTCTGTATTGGTATTCACCTTTTGTCCCAGATTATTTATACTTTCTGTATTTAAGTCAATTTTAGTAGTTGCAGCATCCACTTTCACATTTGTCGCATCTACTTTCTTGTTAAGCTGTTCCAATGAATCATTTATCTTATTTAATGCAACCGCTAAAGCCTCTTCTGTCGACATTCCTCTTGATTTGGAGTGTACTGATGTGGAAGCAGCTGCCGAGGAGGCAGGGAGGCCTTGTGTTGAGCCTCTCCTGGGTTGCTGCCAAGTCCTCCCAGACCTTAGTGTTTTTTTCAGCAGTTGACTGATCTATTTTTTCCTTTCCATCTGCCATAACACTCAAAAGATTCAAGGTCAGTCCCAGAGTCTCACAATTTTTATCTTACAGCTGGAAATTCCCCTAGCCCAGATCTTGTAAAGCCACCAGTTTCAAAGGCTTCCACTAGGGGGAAACAGTTTCTATTTATATTAGTCAGTAATGTCCTCTTTTAGACACAGTTCAAACAATCCAAAGCTAGTTTCAATTTTCAGTTACTTTTACTATTTTTTAAAGGCAGCCGGAGACAGTAGATACAATGTATCTTCTCTTGTGCTAGCTGTCAATGAACGTTCCAAACACTGTCAATGAACATTCCACCAGACGTCAGTCCTGCTAGCAGCTCGTTCCCAGGGTCAGAGCGGCGGTATTTTAGCTCTCTTTGCTCTCTCCTGCAGGCATACTCAGTCCACAACTTCCCCCCCTCTTCTCCTGCCTCCAAGGGGGGGATTTAATGTTCTTTACCGATGGAAATTTAGTCTTTTGCAAAAGGCTTTCTAAGACTTCAGCTTGCAACCTTATTGCCTCAGTCTATTTACAAAAGGGGAAGGCGGACTTTCTGTTTTGAACCTCCCCATTACAATTCCAAATTAAACGTTTAAACATCCAATTCTCCCACTTCAGCTCTACTCACGGGTAATTACTTTAGAGTCAAATTGTCCACAGGAAAAAGTCAGCGCTCTCCGACAACAGCTATGCGGCTTCGCTCCGTGGAAGAAGCAAACGATTCGAAGCACCGCACCGCTCACTCCACGTCGCTCCGGATCCCCGAAACCGGGTTTCCCTGCGAGTAGGGGAGGCGCAAAAGGTGCCCGCCGAATCCCACGCTCACAGGCTTCTCCCGCCTGTGATTTTAACGGGTCTCCGCCTTCGCCGTGGCGGCCAGACCCAGATTCCCATGGAGCAAATTCCTCCCGATCAGAGGAATTCCACCATTACCGGGGAGTGCCACAGGTTTTTTTAAATCTCTTATTTGTTTGTTTGTTTGCAAGTGCTATGTTTAGAATTGTTTCTTTTTTTCCAGGTTTTATTGCCTTTTCAACCATGCCACAGCTTGCTCAAAAGGTTAAACTCTTCATGGGCCTGGCTCCTGCCTACACATGCGAAGGCATCAAAGGACTCCTTTCCTTAATTCTACGCTTTCCTCAAGAATTGATAAGAGTAGGTATTATTCAAGGCCCATAATTCTAATATATATTTTTCTTCTGCATCTTTATGGAGAGTTAGTCTTCCTGCCATCCACTTCATTTCCTTATGTTGAGTGTGAGCTTGAAGAATTAGAAGGTTTGGATCACATGAACATTTGTAGCATGATAAGGTCCAAGTAGCCAAGTAAGATTGTCTTCCAAGAACACGGTCTTAACAGTGAGTCCCTAAGTGACTGTGAAGGCCAATTCTGGATCCACATGTCCTTCCACAATGCTTTTTGGTGGCTCCTCCCAGACAGGATGAAGACTCTGTCACAGTCAGGGATGCTAGAAAGGAATGGTTGACATTCCAACCTGCATGCGTCACAACCAGTACCATTTGCATTCTGCTGCTGTTTAGCTTCTGCCAAATACTCTGTTATTCATCTTACTGTCCACTATTGAGAATGCCCTTTTCCAGGACCCCACTCCCAAACTTTTAAGGAACTATCAAGAAGGCCCCATCTGCCAATCTTAACACCTGAGAGGTTGTGTGGGAAGAAGTTGTTGGAGAGCACCCCCTTAGAAATCTCTCCTCAGCTATCCAGAGCCAGGCCACATCAAAACCTGGCAGCAAAATTGCCTAGAATGCCCAGGCATATCACCCTGAGTGTGCTTGAAGAAAAGTGGTATATAACTGTAACATAAAGGATATCTGTTCCTAACAGGAACCTCAATGTTTCCTTCCAAGAAAGGGCAATTATTTAGTAATGCTTCACATTTTTTTAATTTTATCTTTACAGCCTATATGCGGCAATAAAGAATTCTGTTTTTTCTATTACAAACTAAAAGCCAACAATGCCAAGTTGTGCAGCTATCCAGGGATTGACAAACTTTGTCTCCAAATCATGTCCTTATTCCAAGGACACAATGAGAAAAACCTAAATGTGGTAGGTAGTTTTATTCTCTATCATTTATTCATTTATTTCTTTTTGAAAGAACTTGCTGTGTACATATACAAAACAACAAAAGAAAATCAATCAAACAAAATAGAGTATTTGCCATAATTTTGAGTTCCTTTACATAGTTCTTCCATGTTGAAATTCTAGAGGCCTCTTTTAATAAATGTTGATCTATCTTTTAAAATTTATTTTCAAAATTAACTTCTCGTCTAGTTGGTAGTTGGTCATTTACATGTGGCCATAGAAGAGGAAATGCACAGCACTACAAAAACCAAAGAAGCTTCAGAGTGACTAATTTTAGCTGCTTATGCTAATTTCCAGATGCAAAGTTAGAAGGAATTACTACTGTAGGGCAGGCTGTGACCAGGTGACCTCTCTGCCTGCTCCATGTGCTGTCCAGGTGCTCACTGTTGAGAGGCAACTTCAAGGCCCCTGTTCTTCCTTCTTATGGCTCTTTATCAGCTGGATTCACTATGGGTGGGGGATACACATCTAGGTACCCAGACAGCTCTTCATCAGAAACCTGCTTCCTTGTGCTACATGCTGCACTACCTTGATTGCCATGACCTATTGCTTTGTAAATAAATGTGTTCCTTGAAAATTTTTCAAGAATGTGAATATAAAAAGCATTTTCTTTTCTATTATTCTTCCAGAGTCGAGCAGATGTGTATCTTGGAATTTACCCTGATTTTACTTCTGTAAAAACTATCATACACTGGAGTCAGGTATGTTCTAACAAATACCTTCTCAGCATTTGAAAACATGGGAGTCAAAAGTCTGACATTTCGACTTGCCTGTTTAGTTTCTCATGTTTCTGTTTTGGTACTAAGGTTTCGATTTCATTTTATAAAAGTGTAGTTTTCCAGATTACCAGACCACTCAAAAGTTATATTCTAGATATTCAAACAATATTCAAACATGAGCTATAACAACTCTTTGGATCTCATGGGAAGAACATAGGAAGCTGCCCTTTATTGAATCTGCCCATTGCTCCTTTCAGTTCAGTATTGTCTACTCTCACTGGGAGCAGCTGTCCAGGGTTGCAAATTGTAGTATCTCCCAGCCCTACCTGGAGTTGCAAGGAATTAAATCCGGAACCCTCTGAGTTCAAGGCAGAGACTCTATCACTGATCTATGGCTCTTTCTGAATATTTAATTTTGACATTATAATTCTTCCTTATGTTCTTTCGCCATTGCTTATGCTCCTTGCTGCTGAGTTCTACAAGGGAAACAATGAGACTAAGTAGGAAGCTGACAGGCAGGCAGCGGGTGGGTGGAGGAGGGAAGATGGAGGTTGGTGGGGTACTGCCCCATGCACCCGAGTGCACTAACATCCACTGGTGCTGGGAATCCTCACATTACGCAGAAGGTGAAACATATTGCACTGGTCTTGGCAGCTGAAGATTAGTGAAGGCTGGGCAAAAGAAGAGGTCAATATTGTGGGCACAGGCACCAATTCTATGGGGTGAGGATAGCTCCTCCCTCCCAACATATGCAGGAATGGGGCTGAACGCCTTCAATATTGAGGGGCCGGGCTCAGTTTTTTAATATTTTCTCACAAATGAGGATGATAGATATGTTAATAACCTTCTACCTGACTTTCCAGAGACACCACTGTTTTAAGCAGAGCTTATGGTCCTATCATTGGCCAGGGTGGATGGGTGGGAATTCTGATACTGTCAAACCTCGGTTTCCGAACAGCTCCATTTTGGAACGCCTTGGCTCCCGAATGCCAAAAACCTGGAAGTAAAAGTTCCCATTTTTGAATGCTTTTATGAAGCCAAACATCTGACGCGGCTTCTCTTTGAGTTCAACAACCAAAGTTTGACTGTAACCAAGATCTCTAGAGTTTGAATTTTCTTGTGGCCCTCCATCTTTCAAGAGGATTTTGTTTTTTGAACATGCACCAAATTTCAAATTGTGTATAAGTCTTTTCCATCTTTTTAGGTTGCTAAAACCAACCAATTTAAGTATTTTGATTATGGATCAAAGAACAAAGCTGTCTACAACATGGTAAGTGTTTTGGATTCTAATGAGAGATTTTGGCGGTAGGTTAAATGTTTAATGTGAACCGTGTTGTGATTTCTGAGTTCTTATATAATTCCTTTGGGTGAGATAACACCAAAGACACCAAAGAACTGGTTGGATTTATGTGTTTATCTATGAAAGTGCATGCATTTAATGAGTAAGGGCATAGAAAACTGCCTTATCCCAAGTCAGACTATTGTTCCACCTATCTGTCTATACTGATTGGCAGCAGCTCTGATTCCAAGCCCTACTAGAAAACCTGAGGGACATATGACCTTCTACACACAAACCAGATGCTCTACCAGTGAGCTACCACTCTCCTCTAGATTTTGCCTTTTGGGATCCATTGAGAGCCTCCTTCCAGGCCAGATGTGCAGCGGGGCTTAGCTGAGACTAGTCTGCTGATATGTGCAGAAGTGGCTGCCTCTGCTAAGTTACTCCACCTTTCAGCTGTCGGGGGGGGGGGGGAGAGAGACTGAGCAACATCATCAAAGCCCTACTGCCCCTCAGGCTCACAAGGAGACCCTCCCTCTGTCCTGAATAGCATGTCCTCCTCATGAGCCATGAGGACTCTTATTCCTTTTGCTATTCTTACTGCTCCAGAGTAAGGAGTTGGATACTTAATAGATAGTTAAAGAATGATTTTCAAGGGACAGATGTTAGGCATTCAATGTATCTGAAGATCCAAAAGATGTCTTTAAAAAGAGGAAAATAAATAAAAGTGAACCTAATTTTCATCTTTCTGTTCTTTTTCTCAACAGAGTACACCCCCATTTTATAAGATAGAAGACATTACTGTGCCAACAGCTGTGTGGAGTGGTGGGAATGACCTTATTGTAACCAAAAAGGCTATTAAACGGCTGCTCCCTCAAATCCCTCATTTAGTTTTCTATAAGAATATTCCTGATTGGCAACATTCAGATTTTATCTGGGGTCTTGATGCACCAGACCAGTTGTTTAAAGATGTGCTTTCTCTGATGCAAAAGTTCAAATAATGTCTTAATACGAGGGGCAAACTATATATCTGATATTAATGCAGACAAATTTTTAAAAAGTTTTACATTGATTGTTTTCTGTACTTATGTTCTTTTCTGTCGCAAATAATATTAAAGGTTGGCTAGCAATGACAAAAGGATCTAAGGAAGAAAAACAAACAACAAAATTGATGGTAAAAATCTAACAACATGCAGGGGCACAGCCTCTAGTACTACTTATTATTATAATATATATTCATATTATATTGTGTTACCATGCATTATAGAATAAACTTGCTTCTGTTCTGCAATGAATCATGGAATTCCTTGCCAATATGAAGGGACCCCCAAAAGGCCAAATAATATGCAGCTTGGAATAACTTTTTGTATTCCAGTGGAAGGTACTCCGATTCCGACTAACCCACCCAACCAGAGGTCAGTGAGGGAAATGTCACACATTGCTCAGGTTTGGCTATCAAGACCATGAGCCTCCATAGGGCGGCTGTCTCTTATTTTAGCAAATGTTTTCAACTGCTTGACCCCTGTAATACCTTCCACGTAAAAGAAGCTAATCGCTGGCTGGCATTTTGTACACCTGGCTTTGCCAGACACAAGGGAGCCTATTACTGTTGAGACTTTGCAGCTGATCTGGGGCAAGTTAGGCAGTGTTTGTTGGTCCAGTTTTGAGGTTCAGTTATTTGCAGTTTGTCTTGGTACCTGGCTCTTGCTCCAGCATGGAATGGCGGGGGGGGGGAGAGAGGGAGGCCTGCCGTTAACCCTCCAACACCACCATTAAGAAGCAGAGGTTCTCCATATACAGTGGTACCTCTGGTTGCGAACAGGATCCATTCCAGAGCTCTGGCCGCATCCCAAGGAATTTGCAACTGGAATTCTGCGCATGTGCATGGCGCAGATTGCACGGGAACAGGAGCTGGATTGGGGCTGCTCAGCTGGGGAGGTGCAGGCTCCATCACACTTTCCGTTGTGTGCACTCCCCTCAAGGGGGAAGTTTAAAGGAGCCCCCACCTCCTCATCAGAGCCCCTGCGCCACCTGAAGGCAGCCAGGCTGAATAGTTGCTGGGGTTGGGGAAGGTCGAGGCAGCCCGGAAACTAAGAGCCCCTGCACCACCTGAAGGCAGCCAGGCACTCCTCAACTGAGCTGCCTGATCCCGCTCCTACTTGCGTGCAAGCAGGAGTGGAGACGGGGATCTCTTGGCATGAAGCCTCCACTCAACTTCTGAGAGATCCCCACCTCCACTCCTGCTTGTATGTGAGCCCTCCTCTCCCATCCCCAGCATGGAAGCTGTGGGCCTGCTGGGGTGATGGCACTCATGCCCACAGAGAGGGCTCTGAGTGCCCTCTCTGGCACGCGTGCCATAGGTTCACCACCACTGAACTAGGACATAGTATACAAAGGCAATGCCAACAGACCACACTTTGTCCACAATTGACTGTGCAGCACCTGAAAATTAAGCAGCTCATTAGTTGAGGAGGAAAACACATTAACTATATTATTCAAAAATTCCATGCATGTGCTTACACAACAGTATTGCTGTTCCAAAGTTGCGTGTGTGTGTGTGTGTGTGTGTGTGTGTGTGTATGAATACATATAACATATATGGGAAAGCCACTTCCGAGCTAGGGAGGAGGTGGGGTTGTGGGCTTCAGCCCCTGCGATAACAGGGAATCCTCGGATACGTCATCCCCGGGCCAGCCAATAGGCTGGCCCTGGAGGCGTGGCCTCGCTGCATTTAGGTCTGGTGCGGCTGAGGGTTTCCCTCTTTTCCGTGCTGCAGCTAGCTAGGTTTTTTGGCTCCTCGAGGATTTTTATCCAGCGCCTCGTGTGTGCTTGCTAATTCTCTTGTTGTTTTCCCAGGTCGTCTTCGTCCTTAGCCTGCTGAGTGGTAAAAAGGAGAGCGATTTTATCGGAACTACTGTGGCTTTAGGAATCCGGCACCTTTGCCAAGGAGCGGTCCCCGAATATATTTTAATTGTGCTACGAGGCTTTGTTTTCCTCTTCAGTTGTTCCCTCATAGGTTGCTCAAGTCGGGCAGCGCACTGATTTGCAGTAGGGGCTGGGAGCGGATCATACCTTACAGTGGGTGATTCCTCACCCACAAACTTCTTTGCTTTGGGAGCCCCGTTCACCCGCCCGGGTAGCTGCCCGTTGCTTCTTCAACCGTGACCGCTCGGCTCCTTCCTACGGCCGTTCTCATCTCCTCTGCAACAACATGGGATTCCTTGAAAGCCCCCCGCTCAGCTCCTTCCTATGGCCGTTCTCATCTTCTCTGCAACAACGTGGGATTCCCTGAAACCCTCCTTCAATCTTCCCCCCAGGTGCTTCTTTGAGGCAAAGCTGCGCAGACAGGAGCAGCGACATTTGTGGGCTGCTTCAGCGCTCGCTAAAGGTTTGAGGGATGCCCAGTATTACTTTCCGGTAGCGGGGAGGACCACATAGCACGGAACAGCCATTTTCCTCGGCGGAGGGTTGCTTTAGCGGCGGTAGTCTGCTCGCCATGAGGTCTCAAAAAGCATCTTAAATCAGAAGCCAGAGGCTTGAATCAGAAGCCGGAGGCTTGAATCAGAAGCCGGAGGGGGTGCCTTGCTTTTTGTCAAGCCTACCGCTTCACGGCGCGGCTCTGCCATAATAATTCGTTACCGCCTGAGCCTCAGCGTCTCTTTTACTGAGCTGCCTCATTTAACTGGGTGAAGTGTAGCTTTATAGCTGGTCCCCCTGCCTTAATTTTCTGCCGCTAGCTTGCCGATGACCGTTGCGGCTCTTTCGTGAACTTATCGCTGGAATTAAGTGCCCCCCTTTTCCTATTCCACGGTTTGGGGCTAGCATTAAGTGTTTTTTCTTTTCTTTATTGTCCTAGCTGCTGCTTTACTTCCCGGGTCTAATAGCGAGCGTTCAAAAAGCATAGTGGTTGCCTGGGTTACGGCGCTTGAAGCCGAGTTATGCCCATACTGAGAGGCTGCACGCGCCATTTTAAGTAAGGGCTTTATACGGGTAAATGCTAGCTCACGGTCACCACATGGCTAAGCCAAATCCGCCATTTTGAGTGAGGATATTGTGCAGACACGTGGCGAAGCAGCGTCCACCATCTTGACTGAGGGCATTGTTTGGGGCAATTGGTGAAGCTGAGTCCACCATTTTGGCCAAGGGCATTGTGCTGGCAATTCAGCATAACAGGAGTTTATAGGCCTATTTCAACAGTTTTTTGCAACCCTTTCAATAAGGGATACTCAGCTTGATTAGGCTATTTGAGCAATTGATTGCTTTTAAGCAACCTATCATTTTGAATTTATAAATAAAATAAATAAATAATAAATAATTACAAAAAACGAAATAAGTAAATAAATAACAAATATTACAAGAAATTTAAATAAATAAATAATAAAAAGTATAATAACATAAATATATATATAAAAAGTGGGGGCTACACTGTGTACTGAGCATTGAGCATTGCAGTGCAATTATTCTGCCAGTGTAGACAATACTGAGCTAGCTGGTGCATATTGTCCATATTCCATTGCCCAGTGTAGGCAACACTGAACTAGCTTGCTTATAGGGGGTTCTTTGCTGCCCAGCGTAGGTAATTCTGAACTAGCTGGCTCACAGTTACACAATTTACTTGCTGGTGTAGTTGATACTGAACTAAGTTGCTGAACAGCTGGCTCACAGTAACGTAATTACCGACCAGTGTAAGTGATTCTGAGCCAAATTGCTGGTGCGCCTGTATTTGCCATGGCATCTGGGAGAAACCAACAGGCATCGTCTCATAATGGAAACAGGGCTAGTGCACAAGGCGGAACACAAATGCCTGCCATGCCGTGCGACCCTCAAGCATTTGCTCAATTTTTCTCAGCCTTCAAAACCTTCTATATGCAGTGTAGGCCAGGTGTGAGGGCGCTCCGAGCTCCTCCACCTGCATCACAGTATTACATACCTGACACCCTCCCCAGTAATCAGGAGCGCCCCAGCACCTCAGCTTCTGGTTCAGGCTCTGCCCCACCAATAATCACCTCTGTTACCCGCCCCCTAACCCGCTCCCAGTCTTCTTGCTCCCTTATGTCTAAATTGGGTCCTTCGGGCGGTACGGCGCCTCCCAAGGGGCCATCTGGTAATAACCCTCAGCAGGCCATAGATGTGCCCAGTATTTTTCAGGAATCACCACCACTGCCTGCAACAACGGATGGGAATTCTGCTTCCTCTTCCAATGATGATCAACAGAGACATCAGGACGTGCCTGCAGTTGCTGCACAGTCCACAGTTACCGGTGAGGAACAGGGTGGAAAAAGAAAAGCCAAAAAGAAGCACACGTCGAAGAAAAGCAAGAAAAGCAAGACATCAGACTCCGAGGATTAGTCAGGTACCTCCTCTTCCGATTCAGATAGTGACGCCTCTATGGAGAATTACTAGGGTTTGGCGAGGAAATTTCTGGGCTCCCCTTGTGGGTGCACGAGAGGCGAGCCAATTCCCATCGTAAGTCCTTTAATGGGTCCCTGGAATGGAAAGGGGCATCATTGGTGGAAGATGTAAAAACATCCACCAATGTGTCCACCGACTTCATATTAGGAAACCACTTATCCCAAAAGAAGAGAACCAAGATTCTCAATGAGGACTACATTGACATATTTACTCTCCTCCCCCTGACTAAGATGACAGGGAAAGGAGAAAAGAAAGGTTTGTATGGAAAGCAGAGGTATTTGACCCCCCGAGCGGAACGCACTTTTGAAAATTGGTTGGATGGGTACCAGGTATTTATGGGAGTAGTTTCGGCGGCTTATCCCAAATGCGCGATGCATCTCATCGCACACATGGCGCATGTGAGAAGGGCATTTGCCCTAGCCAGGGAGAATGCTGCTTTATCTTATGATGAAGATTTCCATAGAAATGCTTCCCTTTTACCATCCACTCACTGGGACCTGAGGGACCAGAACTATTGGATGGAGCACGTAGGCCCGTATGTTGATAAGAAATCGCAGGATTCCTCTAAGACTGCGAAGTTGGAGCCAAAGTGGCGACGGAAATGCTGGGACTTCAACAAGGGGCACTGTTCTCGGTCGGCGTGTAAGTATGCTCACAAATGTGAGAGGTGCCTCGGCAGCCATCCGGCCTCTGCGTGCTTTAAGGGTAAGCAGCCCTTTTGTGGCGGAAGGGGTACTCACATCAAGGCACAAGGGGTACCTCTGGACAATCTCAGGGGACTGCCGGGAACCACCAGTAATAACTCTCTAGGGTTAGCCTTCACTCCAGTCAAATTACATCCCTTAAAAACTCTACTAGATTGTTACCCTGATAAAAAAGCAGCCAGATACCTTTGGGAGGGGTTCTCATTAGGCTTTAGAATCCTGGTTTCTTTCCCTCCAAACCCTTGTGAGCCTCCTAATCAGAAATTAGTAAGGGAAATGCCAGAGATTGCGAGAAAGAAAATTCAGAAATAAATTGCAGCTGGGAGGGTGGCCGGTCCCTTTAAGCAACCCCCCATCAATGGTTTGCACATTTCCCCACTGGGCATTGTCCCTAAAACAGCACCCGGGGAATTCCGGATGATCCATAATCTTTCTTACCCAAGGGGTGGCTCGGTCAACGATGCCATACCACAAGAGCTTTGTTCGTTAAAGTACGCTTCTTTTGACCATGCCGTAAAACTGATATGCAGATTCGGAAAAGGGGCGCTTCTGGCAAAATGTGATATAGAATCGGCCTTTCGCCTCCTGCCAGTGCACCCCGAAGATTTTCGCTGGTTAGGTTTCAGGTTTGAAGGATCTTACTTTAGCGACAAAGCAATGCCAATGGGTTGCTCAGTGGCATGTGCGGCCTTCGAATCCTTTGGTACATTCCTGGACTGGGCACTGCAATTCAAAACAGGTTCCATCGGGGTTTTACACTACCTCGATGACTTTATTATTGTTGCAGCCACAGAACAGCAGTGCACCGACTTGTTGAGAGCATTCATCTCCCTAGCAAAGATAAAACTGAGGGCCCAGCCACAACCATAGTTTATCTAGGCATTGAATTAGACACAATTGCCCAGGCCTCCAGGTTACCAAGCGAAAAACTAGTCGCGCTCAAGGATTTAATTCAACCACTTCTTCCATTAAAAAGGTTACCCTTAGGCAGATCCAGTCTTTATTAGGTCATCTAAATTTTGGGTGCCGAGTAGTATCCCCAGGACGCCCCTTCTGTGCCCAGTTGGCTAGATTGTCAGCGGGCCTTCGGGCACCCCAGCACAGAGTTCGTCTTTCCAGGGCGGTTAACTCCAACATGGAAGTATGGCTGCAATTCCTAGACAAATATAATGGCATTTCTCTGTGGCAGGATACCATGCTGCTCCATGCTGATTTTCAGGTCCAATCAGATGCGGCGGGTTCCTTGGGGTTTGGGGTCTATTTCAGGGGGTAGTGGTGTGCCCAGCAATGGCCCCCAGTGTGGCACTGGCCCCAGCACTGGCCCCCGGTGTGGCAGGGAAAGCCCATAACACGGGATCTTACCTTCTTAGAATTCTTCCCCATTGTGGTGGCGGTTCATTTATGGGGTGAGGTATTTAGTAACCACAGGATGTGCTTTTGGACTGACAACCAGGCAGTGGTATCTGTTCTCTCAACTCAATCATCACACTCCCCAAGAGTCGGTAACCTCCTCCGTTCCTTTGTCCTTTTGTACCTTGAACACAACATCTATTTTTCAGCCAAGTTCGTGCCTTCGTGGCTCCCTTCTGTCCAGGTATCAATTCATACGGGTGATGTGGATAGCGATTGCGGCTTGTGGCCTCCCCGCAGCACAGTTTGCTGCTCATTCCTTTCGGAATGGGGCACATGGGCCTCTCGGCAGAACGGATTAAGGACAGGGGGCGGTGGGAATCGGACGCATACAAAGGTTATCTTAGAAAGAGTCAATAACCAAAAGTGCTATTCCTGATCAATTCTTGTCATTTCATTTCCCTTCCAGGAGACGCGAGAATTCGCATTTGGATCATGGGCCACAGTATCGTTCATTGGGCAGCGAAGTGGGCTGTCGCGGCTGGCTTCGGGTGAGGGCTGAACTTACCTTCAGATGTGCACATTTCACGGATTGCTAAGAGGGGGATGCGCTGAGCCGAGCTGATGCCGGTCGTGAGGTCCAGAGTCGCAATCGAAGGCCCACCAGATGCCTTAATTATCCAGCTGGGGGGAAATGACTTAGCTTACCGTAAAGCCATAGACTTACAATGGAACATGTTTAGGGACTTTGATGAGCTACTTACCTCCTATCCCAGACTGAGCATTTAGTGGTCATCACTGCTGGAAAGGTGTATCTGGAGGGTTTCTCGCTGCCCTATTGCACTGAACAGAGGCAGAAAGATTTTGCAACGTACTGTGGTGCGTAGAGTGGCGGCACTAGGGGGATGGGTAATTGACCACCCCAATATCCAGTTCACAAAGGTGGCCCTCTACAGGGATGATGGCGTGCATCTTTCTGATGCTGGAAATGATGTTTGGTTGAACAATATTATGTCAGGGATTAGAGCTTGGTCTCGAATGGCGGTTAGGCATTGGTAGAGGTATTGTTCTATTGTTATGCAGATGAAGGGGGAAGGAAGTGCCATCACCTTCCCCCAAAACAAAAGGGTAGTCTGATAAAGGATTCTGGGGGGCGTGGCCTTGTCCTAAGCCTATGGAGATGTGGGCCCACGGCACGCCCCAAAGCGGTAAACTCCGGGGGGAGTTCCTAGTTGACGTGCCTCAGCAGGACTCGCCCTACTGGTGGTTAACCCTTACCGGTCTTCAAGCCAGCGGGCGGAAGCCGGTTAGTTGTTAGTACCAATGCCTAAGCCAATACCGCTCACTTCCTGTAATCAATAAAGTTGTGGCCTAATTTGACCCATTATCCCGAATTCTTGTGTCTCGTGTCTTTATTTCTGAGGGGGGAGGCGGGAACTCACCACGCAGTATGTATATACATGCATCCACATATATGATACAAGTGTACTATAATTCCCATGCCTTAAGCATAAGTAACACAACTAAACAATACATATGTGTACCCGCATGTGTGTGCATGGTTATATCCCTATGTATAGAAACAGCTTAAGAAATCAGTATCCTCTTGTAATATTACCACGTTGAGGTTGGAAGGGGCCCTGGGTCATCTAGCCCAACCTCAAAAGGCACAGAAACCTGCATAATAAATTCGCAGCAAACTCGCATAACCAACACTATACAAACACACCTGCACACATGTAAGCACACACATGCGCATACACCCATGTCCACCCATGTAAACACACCACAAACGTAGTGATTGACTCTCTGTACTTTCCTATAGAATATGGTTAAAGTCAAGAGAAGCCCCTGGTCATCTAGCCCAATCTCCCAGCATATTTTATAGTTGAAGGGGATCCCAAAGACCATTGCGTGGTGATACCCACCCCGTCCCACAGATGGAATAAATAAAGACACAGAACACCAGAATTTAGGTTAATGGGCGAAAAATGGCCACAACTTTATTGATTACAGGTAAGAGCGGTATTGGCTTTAGGCATTGGCCCTATCAGACTAACTGGTATAACCGGGAAGGGTTAAGCACCAACAGGGGGAGCCCCCAAGATGCACATCCCTAGGCACTCCCCGAGTGGTTACTGCTTGGTAGTGCGCTTTAAGCCCTAGCCTCCATAGGTTTCGGACAAGGCGACGCCCCCCGGAGTCCTTTAACAAACTACCCTTCAACATTCACAGGAGGTGATGGCGTTCCTCCCCCCCAACTCATTTGCATAATAATACCCCTGCCAATGCCTAACCGCCAAAATCAAAGGTGTTGTGACGTTTTACTAGGAGGTAGGCGAAAAAACCAAGTGGCTTCCAAAATACAGCCAATTAGCCAAATCGAAAAACTCCTACCAGGCCCCTTGCGGCGACCAGCCGAAGCCCATAGCAAAGTCCGAATGAAAACCTAAAGGGCGGGAGGGTGGGAAACTGCAGCTGCTGAAGGAAAAGTAAGGGGTGAGCATGGGCTGCCCCGACCTTAAATGCCCCCTACTGGTCCCACCCCCGCCGCCAGCCGATTGGCTGGCACGGTGAATGATGAATGCAGCCAGCCCCGCGAGGGTGTGAATGGGGCGTGAGCCCGCAACCCCCCCTCGGTATGTCGGGAGTGGCTTTGCGTGGCGATTCCCGCCCCTCCCACAGATGGAATAAATAAAGACACAGGACACCAGAATTTAGGTTAATGGGCGAAAAATGGCCACAACTTTATTGATTACAGGTAAGAGCGGTATTGGCTTTAGGCATTGGCCCTATCAGACTAACTGGTATAACTGGGAAGGGTTAGGCACCAACAGGGGGAGCCCCCGAGATGCACATCCCTAGGCGCTCCCCGAGGGGTTACTGCTCGGGAGCGCGCTTTAGGCCCTAGCCTCCATAGGTTTCGGACGAGGCGACGCCCCCCGGAGTCCTTTAACGAACTACCCTTCAACATTCGGGGAGGTGATGGCGTTCTTCCCCCCAACTCATTTGTATAATAATACCCCTGCCAATGCCTAACCGCCACACTAGCCAGGCTCGCCGCCAATACCCTCAGACCTGTAACCAATCCCTGATCCCCTAGAAAATGTCAGCAAGCCAAATAACGTTACCAGCATCAGAGAGATGCACGCCATCCCCGCGGTAGAGGGCCTCCTCTCTAAAATGGATGCCAGGGTGCTCAATGACCCGCCCACCCATCGCAGCCACTCTACGTGCCACCGAGCGCTCAAGGATCCTCCTGGCTCTGTTCATAGCCACAGGGTTTTTGGAATCCTTCCACACGCGCCTCTCAAGCAAAGATGACCAGATAATTGTTAGATTCGGATAGGAGGCCCGCAACTCCCCCAGGTCATTGAAAATATGCCAAATTAAGTCCACCCCCTTTCTGTAAGCTAGGTCGTTCTCGCCCAGTTGGATGACCACCACCTCCGGTGGGCCTTCGAAAGCTATTCTTTTTGTAAGTGCTGGGAAGAATTCCTCTCAACGCATTCCACGATGCGTGATCCAGGAAACTTCAACATTGTTTGGAAGCTGCAGATCGCACCAGCCCCTGGTAACCGCGCTCACTCTTGCCCAGTGAACAATGCTGTGGCCAATGATCCACAGACGCACCGTCCCGACACCTGAAAATAAAAGAGCAAGAGAACTGGGTCGGGGGGCCGATGGGGGAAGGAGCGTTAGCATGTCTTCCGGATGTATCCATTGTAAGCATTTGACTTCCACCTTCCCATGTCCATTATCCTCTCCGCCGGTAAACCCATGTGCACGGCGGTGGTCGCAGCCCCGATGCGGAAAGAATGTGCAGCGTACTCCTCAGATGGGAGCCCAATGGCAGCGATTGCCTTGCGCATAACCCTCGTGAACTGGTGCTTTGACAGGCGAGAGTGTGTATGAAGAAAGGGCCACTGGCTTTAGGTCTTAAACACAGGAACTTTCTTGCGTCCTTTACTGGGCAAGGGCCGGCCTTCTGAGTAGCCTGCAGGCGGGTTAGGGCCCCTCTACCGAGTTGATACTTAGAGCTGCGAATTTTCAGGATTACCTCTGCACTAGGTAAGGTCACGTCCTCCAAGAGGAGCCCCCTATTATTTTTATACGGTTGGTCCTCACAGACCACCTCGCCTATGCGCAAGACGCCAAAGAAGGCGAATGAAAAGGCTGTGGAAAATAACCTGGCCTCATACCTAGACCAGCAGATGACCCTGAGCTTGTTACGTATTTGTATGAGTATGTCATAAGTTATGGGTCTTCTGCTATCGGAGCTAGGAGGTTGTGACCTACGCCAGCCCTCCAAAAGCTTCCACACCACAAAGTGTGCGCAGGGGTTGACTGAGAACAGAGATTTAGAGAAGAACGATATCGCTGCGGAATGAATATTGAGGGTTTTGGGAGCCCGCCCTAAGTCGCGGAGGTGCTCTAGATATTCTAAAACCTCCGACTTAGCCGGGGGCCTGCCTGGCTTAAATAGCCCTTTCTTCTGGCGAAATGATGTGAAATCTGACCACGCCTTATTATAGGATCTTAGGGTTGAGGGAGCAACTGCTGACAATACTCCATTTATCACTTCTCGTTGCCAATACTCCAGAGGTGCTCCGGAAATGGCTGAGGCAGCTGCTGCGCATCCGGCGCCAATGATCAAAAGCGATCCATCTGGAAATGAGACAGAGCATCTGCAATGTTGTTATCAATACCCGGTACGAATTTGGCTGAGGCATATAAGTTTAGCTGAAGGCAGGAAAGGACAAAATACCGTAAAAGCGACGCTACCCTAGGCGAATGAGAAGATTGCTTATTTAAAACAGACACCACTGCCTGGTTGTCTGTCCAAAAGCAGACCCTGTGGTCTTTAAATTACTCGGCCCATAGATGAATTGCGACTACTATAGGGAAGAATTCTAAGAATGTTAAATCGCGTAGTATGGGTTTTCCCTGCCATGAAGAGGGCCAAAGCTGTGCACACCACTGACCTCTAAAGTAGACGCTGAAACCCAGAGAACCTGCTGTGTCTGAATGCACCTGGAAATCAGATTGCAGGGCCATGCTATCTTGCCAAAGTGATATACCTTTATAGTCATCTAAGAATTCCAACCACACCCCGAGATCCGATTTTACTGCCTTTGAAAGACACACCCTATGATGTCTCGACTGTAAGCCTGCTGACAATTTGGCCAGTCGTCCACAAAAGGGACGACCGGGGGAAACCACTCGGCACGCGAAGTTAAGGTGACCCAAGAGTGATTGAATTTGCTTGAGGGTAACCTTCCTTAAGGGCAATAGCTGTGAAATAAGCTCCTTTAGGGCAACCAATTTCTCAGTAGGTAGGCGAGATGTTTGGGCAATTGTGTCAAGCTCACTGCCCAGGTAAGTCATCGTAGTGACTGGGCCCTCGGTCTTTTCGTTTGCTAAAGGGACGCCCAGCTCCTCAGCCATAGATTTGAAGGCCTGCAGCAAGGCCAGTCATTTGCATTACTTGCGACCAGAATAAAATCATCCAAGTAATGCCCCACCCCTTCAGAACCAGTTTTGAACTTCAGCGCCCAGTCCAAGAAGGTGCTGAAAGTCTCGAAAGCAGCACAGGCAATTGAACACCCCATGGGCATCGCTTTATCAATGAAATAAGCATCCTGGAATTTAAAGCCTAACCAATGATAGTCCTCAGGGTGGACTGGGAGAAGCCGAAATGCGGATTCGATGTTGCATTTGGCCAGGAAAGCGCCCCTACCAAAACCCCGGACCAACTTCACTGCTTGATCAAAAGATGCATACTTCACCGTGCACAGCTCCTGGGGGATAGCATCATTAACTGAAGCACCCTTGGGGTAAGAATGGTTATGAATCACCCAGAATTCTCCCGGGGCCTTCTTGGAGACAATGTCGAGCGGTGAAATATGCAGCTGATCAATGGGACGTTCCGCAAATGGACCCGCTACCCTAACGGCCAAAATTTCCTTCTGAATCTTTTTCATGGCAATGTCTGGTCTCTCCAAAACTGACTTTTGGTTGGGGGGGCTACTGGAATTGGGGGTGAAGGCGACTGGAATTCTGAACCCTTGGGAAGACCCTTCCCACAGAAGAAGGGCGGCTTGCCTATTGGGATATAGATTTAGCAGTGTCTTTAAGGGATGGAGCTTAATAGGAGAGTGAGCTAGGTCGTGAGACAAATTAGTAGCGATTCCCTGCTGCGCTGCGGGAGGGTCCTGACACACCTGAGGGGGCACCCCGGTTTCCTTGGTGGAAGTGACCCCTGCCACCCCGAAAGGGCTGCTGCTTATTCTTGTAGCAGGTCGTTGCCGGGTGGTTACCTAAACACATCTCGCATTCGTGTAGGTACTTACATGAAGTGCGCTGGCATGCCCCTTTATTGAAATCCCAGCATAGCTTGCAACATTTTGTGTCTGTCTTACCGGATTTAGCCTGGTCATGCGCTCTCTTTCGGAGTAAGGACCCACATGCTCCATCCAGTAGTTATTGTCCCTCAGGTCCCAGCGCGTGGATGGCAACAGCGAGGCATTTCTCCGAAAGTCCTCCTCATACAGCAGGGCAGCCTCATCCCCTGCTAATTCGCGAGCCCTTCTAACATGCGCCAGATAAGATGCAAGGTGCAACCCGCGTTTTGGATAACAGCCTAAAACCACCCCCATGAATACCTGGTAGCCATTGAGCCAGTTCTCGAAGGTGCGCTCCACCCGAGGCGACCTGTACCTTTTCTTTCCATAATACCTCTTTTTCTCCCCTTTTCCTTTCATTTGTGCTGGAGGTAGCAAGGTCAACATATCTATGAAATCCCCATTCAGTATCTTATCCCTTCTTCTCTTTGAAAGGTGATTACCCAAGATAAAATCAGTAGATAAGTTAGTTGAGATTTTAACATCTTCCACTAACGCACCATCTTTCCATTCTAGAGTACTGTTAAAGGTTTTCTGGTGAGAATAGGCCCGCCTCTCGTGCATCCACAAGGGAGCACCAGTCTGTTCACCTTCCCCCCAGTAAGTCTCCATGGGAGCATCACTATCACCCTCTGACGAAGAAGTACCTGTCTCATCCTCGGAGTCAGATGGGTCTCTTCTCCTGCTCTTCTTGGACACGTGCTTCCTCTTCGCCTTCCGCTTCCCTCCGCGGGTGCTGCTGTCCTGTGGGGCTGGGTCATCGGAAGATGGAAATGCCTGCGGGGGAGGTATCTCCTCATCCGAGGAGGACCCCTCAGACGGACTATGATGAGCTGGAGGATCCTGAAAAACACTAGGAACACCAATTACCTGCTGGCTTACAGTGGAGGGGGTGGCCCATGTTGGTTTGGACTTCTGTGCACCAGCCTTAGACTTCTGCACAGCGGACTTGGTCTTCTGCGCACTAGACTTGGGCTTCTGTGCACGTGCGGTTTGTAAACATGTTTGGGGCCGATTGGGCAGCTCCATGCCTTGCTGCGTTGTGCTAGACGAAGCTGAAGAGGGTCCTGCCTGGCCCTGTTGGCTAAGGGGGGTGTCAGGTATGCAATCCTGGGAAACCTCCACTATGGTAGAAGTCGTGGCAACCGGAGGCCTGCATTGCGCGTAAAATGTTTGGATCGCCAAAAAGAATTGAGCTAAAGCTTGAGGGTTACAGGGCGCAACGGGCACTAGAGCACCCCCCGCCTGGGGTGTTTGAGCATTGCCCCTGTTTGGCATGCTACCAACCAAGTTATGTATGGATGTGTCTATGTATGTAAGTGATAGCCTATTAGGTTCCTTGTATTAGAGTGTCTATCTAATTTTTAAAAAATTAAAAAATTATTTATTTATTTATTTATTTCTATTCTTTCCTTATTTATTTTTTTAATTTATATATATATATATATATATATATTTAATTTATTTATTTTTTGAATATTATTATTGATATTATTATTTATTTATTATTATTTGTTGTTAATATATACTATTTATTTGTTTACTTAAAATTTATTCGATTATTAATGGTTATCTCTTTATTAATTTACTACCAAATGTTCCTTCTTGTTAATACTACCGCTGTAATTAGTAAGCAATAGATAACCCTAGCATGTAACCAACCAGCGGTTTAAAGCAACGCAATGCAGTTGAAAGGCAAGCCTCTTAAAACCAAGCGACGAATTTCACCCTATGAATTAAGCCAGGAGCTTCCAATGAATTATACAACAACTTTAAGCAAAACCTATGAATTATTTAAAATCAGAAGATAGCCCCTTCGGCAATAACCTTGGATGAATAATTCATATAGAGCAGCAAAATGCGTTAATTGTGCCTGGAGGCGCAATGAATTATGGATGTATCAGGCAGCACAAAGGATATAATGAATCTGGCAGCACAATGAATAATATTAACAGTATGGCCGGGAAGCAGAGCTCCCTTGCAACCCACCAGCCCAATCAGATATTAATTCAGCAAGCCCTTTAACTGCCTTATTTAATGCTACTATGAAAGCCGCAAAATCTTAAAAGTGTTAAGGAATAGCCAGCAGTCAAAAGCCACTGCATGAGATTCTAGGCATGCAGAGCTGAAGCAGAAAGGTTAACGATACAGCGTTGCCACCGGCGGCACAATGAGGTTTAAAATACAAGCTTGCCAGCGAGAATGCAATAAAACAGGACCGAAAAGTAACTTTGTATCGAAGCCCCTTTAGGGCTGAGGAAAGGCTGCGGGAAGCCTGCAGACACAGGGATGCCTCACCCAAGATGGCCACTGCCAGGACCATGTGGTCCCCACAAGATGGCGACTGCTTCCCTTTTGTAGTCAGGGCAGCCGTGGAAGACCCGGTAAGGTCAGCAACTCACAACGCTAATCCCTGAAAAAGCAATGAACTGATTTCAGAATGCGAGGCTAGCGAGGACCCTAAAGCAACCAAATCGGGCTAGCGACACCCGTTTGCGCCCCAATCCTCCTCCCAGTCCAAACGTACCCTTTTGCGGAGTTAAATTACAAGGCTCAAAGCGGCGCGGAAGCGAGTGCAGCAAAGAGGCTTATCTTCCAACGTCTTCCACCGTACTAAACAGACCCCCGAAACCCCCCAGAACCTGCTCCCGCCAACTGGAGTTAAACCTTGCGTGAGCTTTGTAGCGGCTCATGCTGAAAGATCCGCTTCGGGCAGAGGAAGAAGGAAGCCGCAGTGGTGGCTTGGCGATGACGCGCTCCGACGAACCGCAGGAATAGCCAGGAACTTCCGCGATCTGTACTCCAAGCAATGGTCGGGCAGGGAAGGCTGCGCAAGAAGCGGTTATCCGCCGCACGGCTGCCTGGGGCCGTTCGGAAACGCAGTACAAAGATGCGCGCTGACCTGCCGAGATAGGACCGGCGACGGCGGTGGCAGGCACACGTGCAGCTCTCAAAGCGGTAATCCCCCACGGATTTCAACAACGAGCGGTTTACTTGCTGTACTGTGGGGGTTTTACCGAGAACCAGGAAAAAGCCTAAAAGAAGGAGTAAAAGCAGCCACGGCAAAAGAACAAGCCTGCAGACTAGGATCCAAACCGCAGCTGCTGAAGGAAAAGAAAGGGGCGAGCATGGGCTGCCCCGACCTTAAATGCCCCCTACTGGTCCCATCCCCGCCGCCAGCCGATTGGCTGGTGTGGTGAATGATGAATGCTAATGAATCCCGGGATTCCCCAAGTCCCGCGGGGCTGCAGCCAGCCCCGCGAGGGTGTGAATGTGGCGTGAGCCTGCAACCCCCCCTCCGTATGTCGGGAGTGGCTTTCTAGTCCAACCCCCTGCAATGCAGGAATATACAGGGAAGTTAGTACTCTGCTCTAACTACTAAGCTGTGCTGCCTGTAATGCCAGGTGTGCAGTTATCCCATATGCGGTCAATTTCTATACCACTTAATATAACAATAAACCTTGGGTTACAATTTTTTTTAATGGAATGAAGTGCAGTATACAATGTAATTCTTTGTACAGACCTGCCTTGCCATTAGGCATATGCTGGGTGTGTAATTCTTATTATTTCTTAACCATTTTAGTTACTCTATATGTGTTCCAATATTTAAAATGCATCTATAAAGATACATGATGCATAATTATACAGTATGATGAAATTGATCTTATTATCTGAAGTTTATTATAACCTATAATAACCTATATAGGCAGAGTGTATTTGAGATCTGGTCACCACTGATGAACAGGAACAGGTAAGTTAAAAATATTTTCTTCCATGTATCTTTTAAATTATTTTTTTTTTGGGGGGTGACCTTTCTTCAGTTATGTATTTTAATAGCTTGCATTCTTAAGTTTTACATTTAACAACATTATACGTTACTGTAATGAAGCACAATCCTGTAAAACTTAAGCAGACTGCCATCCCATTGTAAATAATAGGACACCTTCCCAATGCAAGTTTAAATTGCATTGTGCCATTTTAAAATGTATTGGAAACAGTTTAGCTGTTGTTGTTGTTTTATGGTGGTTACAGATGCTTAGTTTTTTATTTTTTACTTTAAAAGGTTTTAACTCCCCACCCCCAGCAGAATGTTTCTTATTCCTATGTAGTTTTATTCCTGTAGAGAGCCAGTGTGGTGTAGTGGTTAAGAGTGGTAGTCTTGTAATCTGGGGAATTGGGTTCGCGTCTCCGCATGCAGCTGCTGGGTGACCTTGGGCTAGTCACACTTCTTTGAAGTCTCTCAGCCCCACCCACCTCAAAGGGTGTCTGTTGTGGGGGAGGAAGGGAAAGGAGAATGTTAACCGCTTTGAGACTCCTTAGGGTAGTGATAAAGCAGGATATCAAATCCAAACTCTTCTTCTTCTTCTTCTAGTGATGATGGCTCTATGTGTTAAGGACATTTTAAAATATGAAACCACATGTGCTCAGCATCAGTGTGTTTGAGAATGTGATATATATATATGACTTCTGGGGTGGCGGCATCGGCAATGGCGGACTCCCTCCGAACTGGAGGGACCAGCTCCGCATGAAACAGGTCTTTTCCGCTGCGGCGAAGCGGGGACCCTTCTGGAAATCACAGGCGGATGAAGCCTGTGACTGTGGGACTCGGCGGGCACCCTTAGCGCCCCCCCAACCCGCAAAGGAACCCACAAATGGGCTCCGAAGCGAAGAGGGGGAAGTGGAGCGGTGCTGTGAGTCAGTCGCATTTTCTGCGGAGCGAAGCCGCATAGCCGTTGCCGGAGAGCGCTGCCTTTTTCCTGGGAAATTTGGCATCTAAAATAACCAACCGTGAGTACTGGAACATTGAATATCTGGACTTTAAATAAGAACTGGCGAAATAGAAAGGAATTTGGACTTTAAAATTCACCCTAATTTGGTACTGAAACGGGAAGGTTTAAACAGGAAGTCAGCCTTCCGTTTCCCTGTAGCCAGAACAAAGCAAAGACAACGCAAATTAGAGCTTTAAAAATCACTCTTAAAGGATTGACTTTCATCATTTAAAATCGCTGAACCCCCCTTCGGTAGCAGGAGAAGAAGGGGGATCTTTTTTGAACTGTTTAAACCCGCAGAAGTGAATCTAAAGCAAAGTAATCTTCCACCGTCCTGATCCTGGAGCGGGGTGTCAGAATTGACATTTGAAGCTCATTGACCAGAAACAAATGTCTTTGACAGATAGTTAAAAGAAGAGAAACATAGTGACTCCATTGTTCCCTTTCGCATCTTAAAAGAACAAATATGGACAAAATATCTTTAAAAAGAAACTTTGTTGCTATTGTTTTTAAGAGAAAGAACAACCAGAAGTTTTTCCCCCTAGAGGGGAACTGTGAAATTGTAACTAATCCCTGGGAGCTTGCAGCTGTCACTGATTACAACTGTGGGAAAGGGTTTGTGACCTTGCAGGACAATGTCTGCAGAAGCACTGTTGGGTGCTTTCTGCAAAATAAATGCCCTATTGGATCAGTTAAGCCAGAAGACGGATTTGATGACTAATGCGTCCAGAACCTTTGAACAGGTAGTGGGAAACTATATGGAGCCCACCCAGGAACTAAAACAGGAGTGTGCCATGACAGAACAGCTGAGAGAAGAGGATTCTGCTGAATCTTGGGCGCCAGAGACGGAAGGAGCTGCGGCCCAGCAGGAATATAAATTTTTGGATTTGACAAATGAACTTGGAAAAGACCAGACTTGGAAAGATAAAATTTGGTTTGGTTTGGAAATGGGGGGTTGGATAGACCCCCCTATACAGGGAGATTTGGACTTTTCGAGTCTGGAAAGGGGCCGTCAGATGTCTGGAGCAGTGGGGGCTCTCAACTTTGAAGGGAATCTGGAACATGTTTTTAAATACTACATTGAGTCTAGTCTGGACTATGGAAAAGGGACTGTTTTGTTGAAAAGGGTCAAAAACATTACCAAGCTGGAGTTCCCACGAATAAAAGGAAAATATGAAGAAGAGCTGCGGAAGGGACATGGAATAGACTTGAAGGCTTCAGATGTAAGATTGCCAGGTTAATGTGCTAGATTAATAGGAC